AGAAAAACGGGATCGCGGGAGTCGCCTGAAGGACCTAGTCTCCTCAGGCCTCAATCGACACGCTCTTCGATATCTAGGAATAATAGGGAGGTTCCCGGCAGAACCGTCGGCGACCTACTACATCTTATTAGTGAATAAGAGAGCCCTGGGAAAAGTCAGCTCTGTGCAGGGAGACGGAACGAGGGAAGTCATGGGCTGCAGAAGTATTCAGATACATGGACCAATATCATAATTCGACCCTTGATCCCAGGAAGGCTCCCGAAGGAATTCCACGAGCTCGAATCCCTCCGCAACAATACTCAATTTCATCGCAGCTCGTCGTTGTCAGGGAAAAAGCTTGCGCGGAAGTCGAACATGCAGAGATCTCCCTCTTCCTCGTCTGCAAAGACATCCGATCCATTCCCTGGATCCATTCCGCTTGGAAAGGCCTTCGCCGGCTCCCTCACCATTGACATGCCTCTCCGAGCTGGCACTTCGCGCTTCGGCGGCTGTCCTCCCTTTCTCCGCGAAAAAGACTATGGATCGCATGCTCGTTCCCGCCGTCTCATCTTTCTTCCCGCTCTAGGGTCCCCGATAAATGCATTCACTCCTGAGTCAGCGATTTTACTGCCTCAACCCCTCTCCTATCGTATCACAAACATGTTCTCTCAGCGGGCTACTCGAGCGTCACTGTAATCTAAGGATGCACGAATACTAGGGAGATCTAACATCTGACCCCATGAATTGACTACCGAGTACGAGATCGTCCTCGCATTCCAGAAGTCATCTGACTCCATTAGAGCTATGAGGAGTAGATTGAGCCGGTGAATCCTCCTCGAGAGTCTGATCTGACTCTGGAATGATTCGCTCTTCAGAATAGCCTGACTGGTGCAGCTCACTGGGAGGCTGGCCACTTCTCAAGTTCCACATTCGAAACACCAAAGAGCTCACAAAATTTTCGAAGCCGACTCCAGAACCGAAAGTTAGCTCGATCGCCGGAACTCCCATCTAGAGTCAGAGCATACAGCGTCTCCCCAGCACTAATGACAGTAGGTATTTCCAAAATGATGACGATCCCGACAGCTGCTCAAGATCAGTTCAGGCTTGCTATGGGCATAGGTCGTAAATTTTCAGAAAATAATGAGAGAGCGGGCAGTCGTAATTATGGAACGAACAGCTTTAATTTCAGGCTTCTTCGAATTCTGCGTCGCCATCTTCGTCTTCCTCCTCCTCATCAAAGCCATCCAGGTCCTCCTCGTCGTCGATTGGCTCATACTGATTATCGGCCGGCGGAATCAGATGACTGACCTTCGCGGCTTCCTTAGCCGCCTTTTTCTTCGTGTACGCTTGAGAGAGTTTCTGGTCATAACTCACCAATGGCACCGAGAAAGGCAACGACAGGCACAGGAAAATGTTGATTGGTTGCTCGTCCTGGTACAACGTGCGCTTCTGACGGGATCTGATGAGATCAGGCGTCTTAGTCCCTGAGTCTGCGGACGATCCCTGGGGCGAGTCGTCAGGATCCTCCGACGCGGATTCGGCAGGCCCATCGGATTCCTCGACACTACCGGATCTGACGTATTCCTCGTCGATTGATCTCGCCCTGTCTTCGATGCTGGTATGCCTGTTCCTGGCGGGGAGGTTGTAGGAGAATGAAGCAGAATTCGTGATGAACGGGAAGTAGACCATCATGGTGAAATACACTTGACTGTCTTCGTAGAGCCAAGTACGAGGCTCCGCTCCAGCTGGCGATCTTTTTGCGTCAGCCATGGAATGGCACGAGGGGACCAAGAGTAGAACGAATACCGGATTGATCCTCATGGCGGCCGGTGCTTGTAACTTCAGGCGAATACAATCACGTCACGGATACGAACTTCCCCGGAGCTCTGCATGCGGAGATCTGTCAGATTGTCTTCGAATGAAGCGGTAGTCGTTCAGTGGGTCTTCAACGCGAAAATATTCGGACTCATTTCTTACACCGCGCTTCCGAGCTTGAGAGAAGGAGGGGGCACCCTGGATTCCAGAACCACGCATCCTCTCGCATACTCTCGGGGTTTCTCGGCGAGCTCTTTGTTGAGAGATCTTCGAAAGCGCCGTGCTTCGGCGAGCTATGAGCCTGTGAGCGTCTGGATGCTGTCGAGGGGATCCTCAAGTGACTCGATGTCGAAACGAACACCTTCGAATGCAAGCGAGACAAGCGGCTCACTTCTAATCTGGCTCATTACGAAGGCGGGGACGCCGGGCTTTACAGCCGCTGAAACAAGCGCATCTCCGGAGACTCACAGATTCTGGAATGACTGTAACTCTGACAGTAGCGTGCAGAAGAAGGCAGGAGGAATCTGCCCCTGGCGGCTCTCCTCAGAGTATGGCGTTCTCCAGTTAGGCACCCAGGAAAAATGGCAATTTTCTAGGTGGAGTTCCGAAGTTTCGGTATGGTTAATCCGAGAAGTATACGGCAACCTCCAGAACGATTCCCTTGCAGGGAACGGCATTTTCGTCGATCGCATCGCCAGAGAGAGCATCCCGCCCACGGAATCGCTGTGCTAAACCGCGTGGACCCACACATGAGCTTCCGACTCGACCGGAAGGTTCGCGAAAGTTCTTAGTGGCGGCCGCACAGACGGACTCTGTGCCACTCTCGGATCGAACTTTTGGGATCGGCAGATCGGCAGCGAATCACCTGTATCGGCATTCTGGCAGACGACTCGGGGCCCACGAAGGACAGAACTCAGAATCGAGGACAATTCATCCTGCTGGAAGCGAATAGAATATGTTCTCGGCGAACACATTCCCCTCAGAATACGGGGTCCTAAACGGAGGGTTCTAACGACTTTCAGGACGAATACAAATTGGATTTTTGTCCGTGATTGATCACGAGCTCCATACCGATGACCTGAGGACTTCTAGGACGAATACAAATTGGATTTCTGTCCGTGATTGATCATCGGAATTCGAAATCGAATACAACTCATTCATCGCCGTAGTATCTCGAAAAGCGCACATCCGGCTTAGGTTGGCGGGTCCTAGAGAGCTCCCCTCAGCATTCTCCGACAGTTTCAACCGCGGTACCCCATTCAAGAAGACTCCGGAATACATCCGGGTATGTCTGATGCTTTGGTGAACTCAGAGAAGCCGGAGGATCGCAAAGCGAAATAGCTATCGCGGCCATAGTCACAATGGTTACCGAATAACACCGTATTTTGTTTGGCTGCTTCTCGACGAGAATGTGGTGACGGACTTGCGGCATTGCGGCGCATCGGTTATACAGTCTCGGAAGAAGAGGGTAAAGTTGTCCGGATGGAGATGCCCCGTCGAGATATAACGCCGATCGCGCATATTCATGCTGTTCCCCGTTATTCCAGGGGCCAGACCCATCAACGGGATTGGATGGATTATAAGATCATGATTCTGTTTTTTATAACATAATGAGGAAACTGTGATCGGACCCCTTGAGATGATCTGAGCCTGGAATCTGCGAACCACCTTGATCGTGTACCCCTGCGGCAGTAAGCGTAAGCGCTAAAAAGGATCATAAAGCGGCTAACTCCAAGGTTCAACCCGAGCAAGAGTGCAATGATGATATTCAACTCAGAGAGGCTTGCCGAGGTAGCCCCTGTAAAATTCAGGGGCAAGACATCGAATTTCGAGATAGTCATAAATATCTTGGGATCACCCTCCGTTATAAGCTGAACTACCTACTCCAACAGGAATTGAACTTGAGGAGGGAGGCCGAACAACAATTACACGGATGCAATGGGAATAAATGAGTATAAGGTCGCGAACGAGTTCATACAAGGCGAACTTGGATGGTCAACCTTCGAGTCGAGAGAAGCTCAGAGCAAAATCCGATATTTCGCGAGAATAAGCGCGATGGAGCCCGAACGATGGCCACGCATGATACTGTTCATGATGGCCACAACGAGGATAACAACAGCAGCGCTCAGAAAAATGCGCCACCTCAGCGACAAATACTCATGCGGAAATTTACCGATGGTATACACGGGGGACCTCAAACCGAGAATGACTCTTTTCAGTTATGTGGTGAAGGAACACATCAGAGAAAAGATGGAGGAGCAGTGGAGAGAGGGAATAGACTCTAAACCGAGCCTCGAGCTATACAGCAAGTGAAGAATGCACCCACCCCAACATACGGACCATATAGGAATAGTCGAGGAAGCGCTCTGTTAGCCCTAGCAAGAGCAGGGATGCTACCGACGAGGTTGCATAGAGCGAAATATCAACTAATCGAGCCACACTGTATAAAATGTGGCCTGGACGACAAGACTATTCCTCTTATCATGACGGAATGCACCCCTCACCATTTCGACGTTGACGGAACGGCTAGAAGATTGGGTTTCACTGAACAAAGTGACGAAAATCTCATGGGGAATTCGAGAAGATTGGGAGAGGGGAACCCGAAGGATCTGCTGAGAAATCGCCCGTGAAACAGGGTCTCATGCCTATATGTGCACATAGGACATAGATAGATATAGAAGATCTTACAGACAAAGGAGATCAATAAATACCATTACCATTATTATTGAATCAGCTACGACCATAAAGGGAATGCCGGTGATTCGATCAGCCGATCTACCCCACGAGTCTTGCTCCTCTCCACTGGAGAGCTCATCGAGCCTCGGAAGATTCCGGATCGCTCTGGGGTGCTTTCTAGATGAATTTGATGCTCTCCTACCTCTCTCAGGATTTCATTTGGGGACTATATGAGGAGGCCTTCGTCGTGAGCAAAACGAGCGAAGAGTCTTCGGTCTGGAGTTTCTCAAGTAGTGAGATTTTTGCAGAACGCTCCCTCTCTCGAAAGCTCAGGGGGATCTATCGAGCCAAAGTTCTTGCCAAGATTTCTTCATCATCTTCACCATAAGGGAGTCGTGAGTACCGAAACCTACTGTGATCGCTCCGTACTTCGCTCGTCGACGGTAGAGTTCATCCTGTGCATCTTTGTTCTACAGGAGGCAGTCTGGAGGGGTTTTCGAGCTTTTTAAGAGCTTCGAGAAAATCTCAATATGGCTCCTGACACCGACCCGGACGGCGCGTCGTCCTCCCGCGATGCCCCGAGAAGTGAGGCCGAGGGCGACGGTGTGTGGACAGAGGCATCTTCTTCTCCGATCCCCTTCGAAGGAACTGGGCCCGGGCCTCCAATGCAAGCAGGCATGAGAGTCACGCCCTCCGAGTTAGAGTCACGCCCAGGCGAGCTCGAATGTGTTTGGACACCGGATGTCGAGGAAGCTTTCCAGGAGGCGGTGCGCCTCTATCCTATTCGCGGCCAACGGAGAAGCATGGTCGATGAGGGAGGCAAGAGGTACGGTCGCAACGAGCTCATTGCACGGCATATCAAATATCGCACCGGGAAGATACGTACCCGGAAGCAGGTTTCGAGTCACGTCCAGGTGCTCGCTCGTCGGGAAACCCGTGAAAATCGAGTAAGGTCGGAGGCCCTTCGAGCGATTATTGCAGAATCCGCGCCAAGCAAGCCAAAGGCTGCCAGGTTGGAAGCCACGACGAGTCTTGAGCCCGGATTAACCGGTGTAGTCGCGGACGCAAACGCTTCCACGTCGAAGCGAGACCCGATCGGTGAGTTGCTCAGCTCGGACGCGAACCCATCGCAAGCCAAATCGGAGCTTCCCGACGCTCCGGAAAAGGAATTGAGCGCACCATCTGCAAGCATAACTCGCGCGTCTCCTCCTTATTACGAGTACTCGACAAGGATATCGAGTACGAGTCTCGAGCTGAATAGATTTTCAATGTACGTTTTGTATCAAGCGACGAACAGAACCGGGGAGGGTGATGGAGTTGGGGAAAGCTCAAGCTGCCTCACGACGAAGTGTCATCTGTTCTCTAATATAAAACCATCCGTTCACGACGCGAGTTGGCCCTTGGAAGCCATCCAAGTCCGTGAAGTGTCTGACAAATTCCCTGGGGGCGAAGAAGGACTCGAAGATTTGTATTACAGCGGTCCGCCGGACGCGTTCTTCGTGATAAAGTGCTGGATGGACCTGAACACCGGTAACATCCCGGCCGATCGCGCTTGCTACCGAGTGGCGAGCATATTCAAATCGCCGTTCCGCGACACTATCATGTGTTCTACGAGAGTATGCTCATTCGGACAGGTGGTGGTGGACAGACTGCAGGCCGTGAATCCTTCCCTAAGCAAGGACTCGCTCCACTATACTTACACCGTCCGCTCGACGATGAGCGAGTGTGTCATCAATTTCATCGAGAGACTCAGACGCTTACCGGACAAGGACAGGATGGATTCAGTGCTGGAAAATTTTACAGTTCTGCAAGTGATTTCCAAGGAATTTCCGAGAAAAACCCTACTATGTATGGCATACATGTTTGAGGTCTCCCGGTCTGTACACGGGTCTCGCCATCGTATATATCGTCTCTCGACGTGGTAGATGAAGGGTGTCAGAGAGCTCACGAGAGGAATCCTACTATGATCGGCCTACATGTTCGGAGTTTCTCGGTTCGTCCATGGATCCCGGTACTGGTTATACCGTCTCTTTACGCAGCATTTGAAGAGCGGGATCATAAATGGATCATCAGCAACGCGCCATCGACCCAGGCGAATAGACTGGCAGGCGAGCGACGCTTCTCATAAGACCTGATCCTGCACAAGGTGAACTTCGGGGAGAAAGTGAGGAAGGATTACGCGGAGCTACTGGAGGAGAAGCACCAGAAGTTCGAAGAATATGAGTTCACGGACGGACTCGCGCTCAGGACGCAGAAATGGGAAGGCAACAACCAACAGAATAGGAAACTGGAATGCAGAATGACGCGGCACGGATACCACCACCTGCTTTGTACTAAACGAGACTGTCATGTACCGATGGACTGTTCATGTAAATTCTGTGGAGAGACCTACATCAAACTCTATCACGTTCATGTAAATTTCATGGAGAGACCTATATCAAACTCCATCTTGTAGAATATTGTGGAGCAATAGGGCATGAATCCTTGTCTCAAACGGTCGCTGAGTTGAGGGACCGCAGTAGTGTAGTCTAATCCCCCCTTCCCCCGCCCTTTTCTTTGATCTATGTGTCCCGTTTCCGAATGTATGGAATTCACTTTGTTAGGGATGGAAATCGTCGCACGAGCCGTGGAGCAATCCATGCGATGCGGGACGGTGGAGGAACGAACGAACAATTGAGCATTCTAGTCCTGGAGCAGCTCTGGGAAGGAGAGGCAGAATGGGCTCTAGCCGGCTCGGGACAATCCCGCTCAATGTGCGGTACATGCGTCGAATATCGAGGCTACGAGGCGCAACATTTCATGGGCCACAGACCTCATGGCCATCTTCCGGAACCGGAGATTGCTCGAACACGCAGGAGATGCTTAGAAAAGTTCCACGTATGTGATTCCGCGGAGTAATCATCAATCCGGAGATATCTGACGAGTTCCCTCAGTTGGGAGGACGGCGACCTAGGAGACTTGTACTGCAACGGTCCGCCATTTGCGTTGTCATCGATAGAGTGCCAGATCGGCCTGCACAATGGAGGCATTTCGCTCGACCACGATGCGCTCACTGAGGACAGCGTCTCCATATCGACGTTACGCGTCAACAAAGCGTGTTCTACGGAAGCATACTCTTTCAGCCGGACGGTGGTGGACAAACCTTTGATCGAACATCCTGCTCGATTCGAGGACACGCTTCGCTGTGTTGACGCTGTCTTCTTCGGCAATGAGCGAGTGTGTCATCAGCTCCGTCGGGCTGGACACGAATGAGATGGATCTAGTTCCAGAAAATTCGACGGTCTCGCAAGTAGTTCCCAAAAAAGCCACCAGGAAACCCCTTCTCCGGATGGCATTTTGTTCGAGGTTTCCTCTCCCGCTCGAAATCGGTCTTCGCATCGGGTTTTTCGTGTCGCCATCAGAAAGACTTAGGTAGTCTGAATGCCAGATCATGATCTTCATTTACTCATCGTCGATACAGTCAGACTCTCCATCTGACCAAGCGGAAATCTGGATCTCGACCGAAGTATGTCTATGAAGAATCCCATAGAGTAGGCGACGCTAGCGGAGTCATTCCATTGTCGCATGGAGCTCCATATACATTATCAGGACCACGCAATAATTCCACCTCAGTTTCCTTCATTCATTTAACTCTTCAAGTCAATATTCTCGGATCAGACCCAAATGAAAATTCACTTTCTGCAGATACATTCGCATGGATTATGGCAGAGAAACCGATGACCGATCACCAATTGACGAAGCGATAGATTTCGTGGGGACAGAGGCGACACCTCGAAGATGTAGGCGATGCACACCAATGTCCTCCCGGTGTCCATCTGGGAGACCACTTGCAACATGGTGTGGCTCCTCAGCGCTGTGCCTCCGCCGTGAAATCGTGGGGTACTTTGAGTGCGTCGACGACACTGAGGGCGTAGTCGCCCATCGTCGACCGCAGGCCGTAAATGTATCGACCCGAGCTCGTGTCGAGCTGTGGAAACATAAGCTCGACTGTCTCAACCGCCTGCCGTCCTCGTTCAAAAAGTCTCGACGCGCAGACCACGGTGTGACTTGAGGCGGAATCGGATACGCTGGTCGTCTCGTAGACGACGCGATCATCCAACAGCGCACCGCTGTGTGGGTAGACCCAGCACCTGACGGGGACGAGAGCGTCTACGGGACCGTCGAAGAATAACGGAGAACAATACGAAGAGCAAGGGCTCGAGGCCATCTCTCAGCCTGGAGAATCGAGCAGACAAGCCGCGAATAGCGACGGCTCCAACGGGCGACGCTGGACAGTGGGCGTCCCCCGCATACGCGAGTCTGTAGCCCCGTTGCTGATGATCACCTCGGCTGAGTCCCGGTGGTCAGAAAGCACATGCCGAGAATCTGATCAGTTCCAGACTCTCGGACTCGGATTCCCAATGGACTCGACTCTCATCGAGCTCCTTTGGGCCATGCCTCATGGGTGAGACACGGTTGTGGACAAATCGCCACCGAGGGAAACCTCGGTTTCCCACGACCGCGCCGTCGCCGTGGAGCGTGATGTCTGCGTATCAGCGCTCTGACCGTGATTCTGCGGAGTACTGTTTAATCCCATGACCACACCGGTATGCACGCCCGCACGCCTTGACGCCTTCTGACATCGCAGGCGTCAGCCCGGTGCCTCGATACCGAAGGCGTGACCCTGACATTGAAGGCGTGGGCCCGGCGCCATTGAGATGGGTTGAGAGGAAAGATAATGTTCTGGGCCGGAGAGTCTCCGTGCTCGAGCTTTTGGCGCCACGAAGTTCCCTCCGAGAGAGCCACTGGATTCGACTGGTCTTTGCTTCCGCGCAGGAATATTACCGATGCTCAATCGAATATGCAGCGCGATGAGATCATTGTGACCCGACGGTCTCCCGTCCTCGCCGAAGCTGATTTTTCTGCGGCCGAAGGACGGGTATAGCCGGACTGCTTCCTCGAACGCCCTCTCGACGTCTCCTGCCCAGACACCGTCGCCCTCACTCCTCGGGGCATCGCGTGAGGACGACGCGCCGGTCGGCAGGGTATGCGCAGGGTATGCTCCACGATTCTCAAAAGGTGGAGTTGCAAGGATCCGAGCACCGAGCTCGGCTTGGTAGAACGTTCTGAGCTTCTAAAAGTCTAAGAAGGAAGCTCCCCGGTGGGACCTCTCTCGAGATACTCCAAGCCGGGGACCCCTCGTTCGGATGGTCCTCCACACAGACTTCCTGGAATAGTTCTCAAATGAAATCGTGAGCAAGGTGAAACAGTGTTGAATCGACCACAGAGCACTCAAAGGCGAGCTCGGCAGCCCCCGAATATCCCATCAGGCCAATGAGCACACTCTCTGGAGAGAAGCTTTTTCTAGCCGGGCTCTTTCATTTACCGACTCAATGGCATCGCTTAACTTTAGTGCTGAGGACTCTCGTCAGTTATAGCGTTTTTCGAGGCTCTCACATTCATGCAACGAAAGGGGCAATGCCCATCAAAACACGGCGCACCCTATATCTCCCGTAGAAATGACGGCGACAGATGATTCCTTCTACGACCGTGAGTTCTGCGATTGCTTCGAATCCGCGGGGGAATTGAGCATCTCTAAGAATCTCTCAAGATCCGTGCGAAAATGGTGCATTGTAATCGGCAGTTCGTAATGTTCCCTCGTCAGTGAGCCGAGATGCATGCATCGAAATCGGGTTCGCGAATAAAAAGGTCAGACCTGCGCATCAGACCTTCCAAAAGCTTGGATCGAGGAACGGGTACCGCTAAGTTTCCGGTCAGGGACGAGGGAGTCTCCATGTCGATTGAATATTCAGCTTGATCCATCCTGAAACTCCTCGAATTCTCGCCGAGGGTACACGACACACCGTCGTGACCTTCCTGTTTGCAGCTTGTCACCGGCAGTCATTTCTCTCGGCCCGAACACCCCGAGGCGCTTTATTTGGACGAGGGCGCGTATAGCGGCGAGAGAACCAAGGTGAGGCTCATTCGCACACAGGAGGAGTGGCGGCATCCCTTGCGATACTGCATCACGAACAAGAACAAACCTCGACTTCATCCCCACAAAGACCCGATGGCCATCAGAGCGAATCTTTGACGGGGGGGTCGCCTGATGAGCGGAGAGTTTTCATCGCCGACCATCATGATTGAAGTTCCTCCTCCCCTGCCGGATTTCAAGGAATTCGAAGGAGCTTTCGCACCAAGTTTCGTATTAGGACTCCTGCGGCGTTGAGGCAGCATCAGGAAACACTCTCCCCGATACGAGAAGAGCGTCTCCGACTCGTACTCGCTGTCGACGGTCGTGCGTGAGGGACTCTTTCCCGCGAAAGATCCTCCGGACCAGTTAGAAGATGCAGCTACAACTTCATTTCAGATGCACACCGGAGAAGGACAAGATAGATCCAGTGCTGGAAAATCTGGAAAATTGAACCCCGACTGCTCCAACCCGAGGAAATAGCTGGGAAGTGCTAGTTGGGGAACGGATACTCTTCGACGTAGTCAGAGTCACATTATCCTATGTGCTTAAAGCGAGGAGGACGACTCCTCTAGACGAAGAGCGAACTCCGGCTAGTAACCAAGGAAATTCGATCGCGGACGGACAGATTCCTCCGCAAGGAAGAGCTCAGGAAATTGTTCCAACGACGCTTTGAGTGAGGCTTCCTCACGCGAGAAATACCGCCTTGATTTCGCCCTGCTGTCTCATAGGGGACGTCACGGGTCACGGAATCTTCGATCATCGGTGGAGACTCGAGGATTGGTGTGACCGATGGCTCCAAGAACTCCTGCCCGTCTCTCAGAAGCAGCGAAACTCCCCGACTGGTCCGGGAAGGGAGCTGATGCGAATCAAACGAGGATGTATCCCTGGACAATCTGGCTGGTACAGGCGGCACGCGATCGTACCGAGGTTCTACCGGACTAAAACTCCGAGATGGACTCCGAGACTGAGCTCAAAAAGGTTCATAATCATAGGTGTTGGTTGGAATTTCAGAGGCAGAAAATCTGAAGGCTCATCGAGAAGCCAATGAGAGAATCTGCTTTGAGGCGTGAATCCGTGAGCGGCTACGTCGCCGCCAGCAAGGTGTCTGAACAACGGACCGATATTCTCATCGGCTCGTCTGAGTGAGGCTCCGTCGACTCGGGAGGAACTCATATGAACATCGCTTGATGAGGGATCCCTCTCCCTGACCGAGTTTTGATCGACAATTCTACAAATTCTCTAAAGCGCGGATGACTTCTCCCACGACAGAATCGCAAAGGCGGACCGGAAGATCTTCAAGTTCGGCTGCAATCACTCGAAAGATTTTGGGGGACCGGGCACGGAAACGTTTTCTGCATCGCGATCGCTTCGGCGATCGCCCCGAATCCTTCGCCGTTTCCGTCTTCGGTGGCTCTGCGACTGCTCTTGACACAGGCTCGGTCGGCACGGTCGGCGGCAGGATGCGTGAGATCCGAAAGACACTGCGACATTTCGATCCCGGGGATAAGCAGCTTGCTCCGCTAGGGAACCCCACGTGTAGTCGAGAAACACGCAGGATGCTCTGCAGCCTGCCAGAGAAACGCCAACCACCTGGAAAAAGCGGGACGCTCAGAATCCCGCTGCAAGCGGAAATATGTGTTACGCCGGAAGGTTGAGCTTTCCAAGGTCTTCGAGCTGAGCCACCTCCGAGGTCCCTCGGACGAAAAGCCGGAACACGTAGCCAAAGTCGCGCGATTGTGGAAGGCGGTAGCAGTCAGGGACTCAAGTTCGGGAATTCTAGCGTCGGAAACCGGGGCGGGAACCTAATCTAGTCTTGCGAGAAACCTACCATGAAGACGAGGCAATGATTCTAGAGAAAACGTGAGTACAAAAGAGGACGGAGGCCTCGGAAAGTAAATGGTCTCGCGGACCAACTAATTCGCGGAAGAGTGAAGTTCGGGGGAACCGATATCCGATTCGAGCAGCCAAATACTTTAGAGATCGGTTTTTCTTCACAATCGGATCTCGCTGGAAATAAGAGGAACTGGGTTTGGTACAATCAGGTTCTTTCGCATATAACCTCGGAGCCGGCAAGCGGCCCAAAGATAGATGGGTATCCGGGGAGTCCCCGGGGGGCAGGTGGAGGGATCGCCGGTGGAGGACCTGCGAGCCTGTCAGCAGTTCATACCGAGGACAGCTTTAGAGTCGATTCATGGCCGCCTCTGCCAACCTCTGAGCACTCAATAAATATCCTTACAAATCACCGCCAAGACCCCATTCACTGCAACAGAGAGAGCAGCTAGTTCTCTCCTGTATGTCAATGGGCTCATGGTCCATAGGGCTATGGTCCATATCCGGTCCACGGCTCCTCCATATTGACATTTCCTATGTTGCTGCCTGGAGACCGCAGGTCACTTGACCGTCAGGTCCGTTTGGCTTGAAGCGGGGCGGCGGCGGCGGCGGCGAGATCATCATCATCATCATGACGGCTGGCCGCCATTGGCGACACCGGCGCTTTCCCTTTCCTCGTATGTGTGCATATATCCAACGAGAGGCTCTGATTCGCCTTGAAGACGTCACGCTCAACGTTCTAATAGTTTAACCGGTGCGCCTCCTACTACCCCGTGTCCGGTACCCGGCTCTTAAGTCGGCACATATCGGTCCGGCGCCGGACGAGTGAAGCTGGTGCCTGACTTTCTACTGCGTACCCTCTCCTTTTCCGTTGAGAATTCTGTTCGTTTTCTTCGCTCGTCGTCCAACTGTCTGGATGTCCTGATGTTGTCGGTACCGCCGCTGCTGCTACGAACGGAGAAGAGAAGAGTAGCAGCCGCCGGAGCGACCGGTGTTTCGTGCTTCGAAACCGACGTAGTGCTCCTCAGCTAATGGGGGTCGGACCCTCACCATACTGGTAGGTTTCAGGAACCGTCTGACTGAGGCTACGTATACTGAATCCATTTCTCTACTCTCGACATGCATCATATCCTTTCCTCATTCTACCGCCTTTCGAACATCTGACAGGGTTCGAGATGCACTGATAAGGCATGCAGATCAGCTGATAGAGGGAGACGTTCGAGTCTGATATCTTCGATTTCTTATTTAATTCCGCTCTCGTCACACAGTTCATACGGATGAATTCTGCCTGGGATATCGTGGTCGCGTGCTTTACCTATTAGAATTTCCAGCGTTGACAATTCACTCAACAATGGAACGATTAAGGACTCGTCAGGCTTTCTTTCGCAGACGGCATCATGTGGGTCAAGCTGTATATGATGTTCACCTCGGTGAATACCTTCTTCCATTCGTTCTGCAAAGGATTTTTGCGACGACTGACCAATTTATGTGAACTCCAGCGAATATGTTACGGCACCACCAAAGGTAAGTCTTCTGTGAATTTCGCGAATCCTACTCGAATCTTACGAAGATGAATTCGGCTCGTGCCGATGCTCTTGCTTGTGGACATCCCCCATGGATTTTACGGCCTTGCAGGTTACGAGCGAACCATCCGGATCGAGAATTCTTTGAAAAAGTCTAAGCAGCTTGCTCGAGTTTGGACGTCCCTCATCAGGATTCCCGAGAAAGGTCGTTACACAGAGTCAAACAGTGCGCATACTCTAGAGGCTGCCGTCACGGGGATCACACTCTTGAAACAGGTTGGTGTTCCGGCTATCCGATTCGTGAAGAGCTTTCTTCCACCGCATCCATTTTTCCCATCTTGCCGAACTTATGCAATCAATCAATTCTCGTGGAATTTCCAGGTGAAACCTACATACCATCGCGAATTCGTGCGATCTCTTAGGTTTTCGCTGAATCATATATGTTCTTATCGACAACTGGAGTTTGAAGCCGAACATGTGCGCAGGATGAAGTTCGACACGTCAGATCAAAATCACGTGAATAAGCTCCTCATTCTCTGGGAGAGCCTACGAGACGACCCGATTGAAGGTGCGATGTGATAACCCCTCGTATCCGATGGCAGGATCGATCCCATCGATGACTGCGATAGCCTGTTTCGCAGAAGAGTCAATTTTAGTCTGGATTTAACTCATGAAAATTGAGTTTCTTGAGCGCAGAATGACATCATTTGTAAAGTCTAACACTCGTCAAGCAGGTCTCGTCTCGAAAAAATGGCAGGATATTGGCTTCCAAGGCGATGACCCCAGAACTGACTTCCGAGGAATGGGAATGTTGGGGCTCGACAATCTTGTTTTCTTTGTTACGCAGTACAATAACTTGGCTCGACATGTTTTGAGCAGGTCTCTTCACCCGAAATATGGTTACTCCTTCGCTATTGTTGGTGAGTGTCTCTAGACCACCGTCTGCCGACTTCCACGACCATTAACCCAAAAAAATCGCGGTTCACGTTGCGCCGTAGTGGTTGACTGCGTCAGCGGGCGCAGAGCGGGAACGTCCCCAAGAGTGACGAACTTATCTACCGTCATCAGTTGGAAGCCTAGGAGCTGGCGGACCTTGAGAAGATTGGCGAAATAGTATTTGGGTTTTTCAGGCATAAACCTCACGCACCTCATACACAATCTCCTGAGGCAGGGGAAATTAAAAACTCATCTTTATAACGCGATGAGAGCCGTGAGTTGACGCGAATTTACCGTTCCTCAAAAATATCATGCATGAAGTACCCACTCCGATTACGAGATGAGTCTGAGATGCTGATTTTCCGCCTTCTTTCAGGTGGTTGGAATTGAAGACTTGCACAAACTGTATTGTTATGTCTTCGTGGAGTTCGATCGACTGTGGTTGGCCGAAAAGCCTCGGGATGTGATGGAGTTCGGAAGGATACGGGATAAGTTCGAACAGATCCTCGTCGAACGACTCGAACGAGAAGACTGCGTGCTCAGCGGACGCGGCACCGTCGAAGAGATTTGAGAAATAGAACCAAAAGGAGCCTTGTAATACCTAAGTGCTTGAATAACCGTGTTCCAAATGCCCGGTGCCATTCTCAGCAGTGATATTTCCGAACACAAACCATTTTATACGATGAGTTTTCGGATCGAGGGAGATTTTCGCCCTTGAGCCCGATTGCACATCATCACTCAAGACGCCAGTTTTGGTTAGTGATTTAATTACCTGCCTCGACCACCCAATGAATGATCGAATGTATTCTCCATTTACAGCTTTTATTAGTTAAATAATATTTCTCTCGATGTTGAAAATGGAAAAGAACTCAGATAACTTAAGCCGACGGGGAACCCATCGGCGTTCGGTCCGGGCGCTAGAACCCTGATCGCATTATTCAATTATTATTCGATCGTTGCCCCTCCGGGCTCATAGAGTCAGCCCGGAAAGATCCGTGGGCCCTTTGCATCCGATAATTTCCACCTCGTTTCGCATTCACCACGGATTTGTGGGGCAGCATTCCGCATACTCGGTCATCGAACAGAAATCTGAGGCGATGAGCCTTGAGAGAATAGAGCCTTTCGAGAGTCTTCACGGATAGCCGCGATTTGTGTGACGGTACGTGTATAAATATATAGTTACATACATCATTCTCCGATAGATTTGTGATCGAAAGATCAATAAAAAAAAGCATCAGAAATCCTCATGAAAGATCTCTGGATTTTCCCTGATAGATTCTTCTCTGCTACAATACAACTACAACAACAATTAACAACAACCATTCTTCTCATCATCACTGATATAACGGCATTCCTACCGGTCGCGGTGGGAAATCAAAAAATGTACACACTTGTTCATGCACTGTTCACTGTTCATCCACTCGGTCGGTACTTTGAACGGCACTTCCTTTCCCCCATACATTAATCGGCTGAGCAATGTTTTGTCTCCAAGACTTTTAGCTTGTCGGGAGCGGGAGAGACAATCTAAGAACCTTGAATGGCTCCCGCCACGGGATGTCAGAACTTCCGTCTAAGTAGTAGGGACATACTGGATGACTTGTGTTTCAACAGACTCGGTCCCGTAGGCCGTTGGAGCGAACGGTGCTTGAGAACGAAGTTCAGATCGAAGGACTTGTTGACAGCGTAGAAAACATTGGTGTCGGGAGGTATCACTATCTCTGCAAAGACTTTAAGTCGTATAACGATCCAATAATCAGGCGACTGGATAGGGGAGAGGATTTTCCTCGGGAGAGGTATCGATTGCAGTCACTTTCTTTCCGCAGGTTCCACCCACCTTGACCGTCGGGGCCCTGTTGGGCGAGTATATAATTGCCTGGATCATCGGTGATGTTGAATTTTTCCAGAGAGACTTTGATGACTTGCTGCGTTCTTTCACGATTACTCAGCTGTCGGAGAAGTATCAGAGTCATCGATTGGGTTCGAATGGGCATTTTGAGCAGTCGATCCTTTCTAACAAGTCGAGCTTCCGAGCTGGTACTCACAAAAATACTTTTGTACAGATTCTGCCCCTGCTGAGGGGTGACTCCGGTTTGAGCAATGCTGACTTTCGCTATGTGAACCTCGGGATTCCTAGATCCCGGACTGCCCACGAGTCTCCCGTTCGTTGAGAGCCCATTGCGCGTCAGAGAGAGACTACACGTCGATTGGGATAGGCGTGAATCGGACAGGCTCCCCAAACCGCTGCTATCGGCGACTCCTACTGCCAACGACTGCATCGAAGATACATCGCTGGTACTCTGCAGGTCCTGCTGTATAGGAGAGAAACTCGAATAGTAGCGATCCCCGTGCCGGATCTTATCAGCGTTTCGCTCGGTCCGTTTCATTCATGTGGCACGCGGTCTGCCTCATTACCTGTGAGTATAAAGCACACGAGCTCGAGCTCGTCGAAGATGTTGAGGGGTTCTTCCTGTGACCGAAAGCTACGGCATCGTTGACAGATGTGCTTCTCCGTAAACCTTCGGAGCGTGAGTTAGTTTCTTTGATTGTGATCGGGTTCGGTGGCTCGATTTCACACGAGAGTTCATAGCTGTTGAGAGTTTGTGTTTAGTGATACATATCGCGAACCATCTATAACACAACGCGATACGCCGAAAGCAAGCGACACCGCTGAGTCAGTCTGAGGTCTCACCTTTCATCTTCGCGGAGAATTTCTATACTATCGAACCAGACGAGGAACGCTGGGTCGGGCTGAATCTGGTAACTATTGGCGGATCCTTGGAGGATTCTGATATTCGCTAGAATTTCGAATTCTCTCCGTTTTTTTTCAAAGTTGATGAGCACGGAGCCGTCGGGATGCTTCGTGGTCTCCGGCAACGCGCTATCCGTCATTGTGAGGTCTTTGGTGAAAGTTCCGAGATACGGGATAGTCCCGCTTATCGTTGGCTGCTGTGTGTATACGAAGAGTTTCAGAATCATCGTTTCGACCGTCGCGCGTCGATCCTCCACGATCGATTGTGACCAATCACCGGGAATATACGATGAGTCGACTCCAATCATAAAACCAATAATCATCTATCATTAACTTCTCGAACATTTCTAAATTATAATTTTGATTATAATTGATAAAATATTTTCATTTCTCACATGATTGAAATGATGCGTTTTGTTGTTCTTCGGCGACTTCGAGTTGGCTCTGTCCGGCTTCCAATCGGCTGTTTTCGCCGTCCCCTCTTTGAGCAGCAGAGAACGCGCGTTCATTTCATTATTGTCTTCACTGAAAATCGCCGCCAACTCCGAGAATCGCTGAGCCTTCTCTTTGGGGACAGCTTGCCATACACGACTCAGACGATAAATATCATTGGATTGCAGCGCCGCTATGATTGCTTTGAGTGATGTGAAATTTTTAACGTAGCGAAGTTCCTGGTTGATCGGAAGAAAGTAATCAAATTAGCTCCGCTATCCTTTCTTGCTCGAATGCTCGGCTACGACTCGACTTCCGAGAATCCAACCGCAGACGGGTAACGAATTCGATGAACACAACTCCTAACTTACGTCCGCGATTTCTATCCATTTGGTGAGAACTTCCGCCCTCTGAGTAACTTTGACCTCGGCTCCTCCCATGACTATCATGGAGATTACTTTTCTCACAACAGAATTGAACTGCTTCACGGTGTCGTTGTATGTCTCGCCGTACCTCTCGTCCTTCTTCATCCGATGAGCTAAGCAATGGTAGGGAACCAATCGCTTGAACAGTGTCTGCAAGAGCAGCGAAAATTCGTGTCAAGACTCTGGGCTGACTTTCGGGTTGAATCGCAGGAAATATACCGGACGCCGGGCTCCGGCTGGTGCAATGCCTTTCACGTACCATATCCATCCAAGTGAGTTGTAAGGCGAAATGTTTGTTATCTATATCCTCGAATTGCAGCGCGATTTTCATTTGGTCACGAGAATACTCGTTGATCCACGACTTGGGCTCGAAGAATCTCGCGCTCTTCTTCGCCCTAAACTCTTTTACCCGGCTTTGGATTTTTCTTTCAACAGAACTCGAAGGCGCCCACAGGTTCACGAACCGCTGAAGCTCCAGCAGATCGTCATGGTCTGGCGGTGCGAAAAAGTCTTCGGGATACTTGTCAATCCATTCGCTGAGCGTCTGTAGAAGAGCCGAAAGATGCCCCCGCTCTGTGTCTTCCGCAACCTAAAAATAGCGTGGGTCAATTATCGTCTGAGCGGACGTTGGTCAGCGACTTCGCGAGCGTGTCGGGTATCGAATTCGGTCGAATTTTATGATTGAGGATGAGAGCCGCCCATTACCTTGATTTTAGACTCTTTGATGGCCGTGTAGCGTTGTATTATACTGTCCAGCAATCGGCGCGTCGTCGCGAATGACCTGAAGGTACTGAGTACGATATGTGCAACGTTGGGATCGAGCTCCCCCTGATCGTCAGCGAGGGAGGCGACTATCACGTCTAGCGTGCCAGCTTTGAGGGACTTCACCTGCGCACATAGAACATCGGGCTCGAAGTCTGGCTTGGGATTCCGGGCCGTACGAGCTCTGCCTTACGGAACAGAAACCGCTTACGGGGGCGGAAAAAAATCATGGAATCGTTTCTGAAATTCCGAGCGGAAAATTCACGGCAGCACTTCGGAGGCTCCCCCTCTATACATACTCGAACCTGTGGAGCTGATTCGATTGTTAATTCGATCGTTCTCTCCTCGGAATCCGTTTCCTCCGCCTGAGAGGAACTCCCAACAAGATCGAGATTCATGATTGATTAAGTTTCGTATGCCTTAATAACGGATTCGTGACGATGCTTAGAAGAGTGGCGGCGAAGACCTTTCCTTGTGCCCTATGACCTAGACTTGACTCCGCTCCATCAAACAAGGAGCGTGCTTTTCGAACACACTTAAAGTCCCAGTCAGACCAACTGATCGACCAATTGACTGATCGAAGAGCAAACCTTCCCGATAAACTACCATTGGAAGCTTGACAGCTCTCAGAGTCTGCGACATCTCAGAGACGCGGAATTCAAGAATGGAACCGTCACACTCAAAGTCAGAACGGTTCCCTAGTGCCGACCGAATGTGAAGGAACACGCTCGGGACTCGAACCAGAAATTTCATTTCAGGAGTACCAACCTTGATTGTTTCCCATTCTAGGTGGGAGACGGTGTCGTCGTTCTCGCCGTTGGTGTAGGAAGACGAAGGGTGGTAACGAACTTTCTTGAGATATATACCCCAGACCCCTCCAGGCCCCGTTTCGTCGCCCCAGTAACGCGGCGCGAGAGGGGATTTCTGCAAAAAGTGGAACACAATGTAAGAGATCATTGCGAGAGATCACGACTCTGAAAATGAAGAATGACTCCGATCCGACTCGCTGGACAGACTTCAAGTTCCATATCCGACCAATGCAGTTAAGCTCTTCCCTAGCTCAGCCCCCCTCTTCTAGTCATGGGAGCCCTTGCGGGTTATCAGAGCGCTCGACACTAAATTCAGATTCAAGCACGAAATTACACAGGTCAAGAATAACAATTATCTTTGAACGAGCTCCGCGAGACTGGTGTCCGCAGTAGAGTAGATGAATTGAAAGTCCTCGTGAACATGAAACATTACAAATACGAAGGCTTCGGAGAGGGATCACTCCATCGCATGGGTATTCGCGTCCGGATTCCGACAGAGTCAGGCGTGGGGACAGTCGGATCCCAGGTTCGAAAAACAGATGCTTGAGGGTCAAACGCATCGATCAATCCTCGCCGCTCAAATCGAGATGGCCAAACAGTCCAGGAGAGCTCTCGGATTTATAACAAGCGCTAATCACTCGCGTCAGCTAACCTAGTTCGCGGATATTTTCCTAACCCAAGAGTCATTGAGTCAATAATGATTGAAACCTCCAGTTTGTGTTTATGGTTTACGCGGTTTCATTGCTGGCGTGAGCGATCTCGGACTGAAAGCCGTCGCCGTCGGGACCACAAGCGAGACCCACGAAAAAGACGCATCGCTTTGCCTCCACCGTATTCGCGGAATTCGCCCTTACGATATCAAAGCGATTGAATCGGCCATCGACGGAGCGATTTGCGGAGCCTGCTAGTAAGAATGCTCAATCCGAGTTTTTCTGCGCACGCAAGTTACCTTTCAATCAACTTGCAATAAATAGACTCAATTGGCTGAATCACTTCTACACACGTCGGTTGCCACGGCACTATCCCACGTTAAACGGATACCACTTCAAATCCAGTTTTGCTGGGCATCCGTAATTATTTCCGTGGGGGTGAAGAATGCGGGAAAGTTGCCAAACGACAGTTTGATTGCGCAATGTTTCCAAACGCCACAAGATCGGACTTTTGAGTAAAGAAGGAGTTTCGGGTCCCCGCTATCTAAGCATCCTCTTCTTGAATATCTCGTTCCAGACCACTCCCGATCCTGATTCCCATCTCCCGCTCATAGCGATGACCCCGGGAGTGTGTATGAAATTCCAAGTATTCCGCTCGAGCCGACTCCATCTCCCGCTCAGCGAACAGGTGTCAGTCGAGCGGCATGCGATCTCTTTCAGTCTCCAATTCGAATGCTTCATTACCTCCGACCCTTAATCCGGACTTTTATATGCATCAAGCTTTTCCATTTCCACCTCTAAGATTCTTCTGCTCAAAAATCATTGAGGGGCCAGGAGACATTCAACTGCTGGGGGTTGAACGCCCTCTTCAGTGGATAGGGAAATTGCTATCCTCGACCAACTGCTTTCTATTCCATTGTGAGGAGGTACCGTTAGAGGATCGGAACTTCACGCCAATTCCAGACACAAACGCTTGGTGCTTTCTGAAGCTTCTGCTTCGCAGCGGCTCCGCAATGCTGGTGTTCTAAATAGCACTGCAGTAAGTATGTCAGCAGATCGTTCTCAAAACTCCGAAGAAAGCACGCATATAGTCACAGTTCCAACTGTCGGCCAATCTTTCCTCCGTCGGTGTCACGAGCAGCCGAATCTCTCGGCGAGCTCCACCGGGACCATCTGTCAAAATCAGCTGAGAGCTCTCCTAGAGTGCCAGTATTTCTCTGACTGTCTCACCTGGGAAGAAAGATCCATCCCAACTCAAACTGGCTCGGATTGCCCTCGAATCTTCTCATAGTAGCACAGCATAGTCTTCGCGTTGCACAGCACAACACCCAGCCCCGTCCGTCATGAGAGCAGGCAGCTTTGCACGACGCACATTCGATCCGCTGAGCTCAACCTGTTCGGTTGACACCTCCCGCTGTCGATGGAGGGATAGACGACGCACGGATAGACCGACGGACGACTCGTTGGTAACCTTACATTCCCACTAGAAGGCGCTGCGATCCGTCTGCTTCGCTACCCGCAGCGGCGGCGGTGGCAGCGGTACCACCACCACTAGAAAGGAGGCGGTAAGGACCTTCCAGGAACGTCTTCGACACTACCACCACCGTCACCGCGGAAACCAGCGACATAGCTGGCTTAGACTTATTCATCTCGGAGGGAGAGACAAGCCACAGAGTTGGTCTATGGGATCGCGCGGATCGATCGATATCACGATCCGAATCGACGTGAAAAATTATTGTCAGCGCTTCTCGACTGTATTTGGACGAAGACGACTTCAGTCTTGCCTGTAAAGAAAGGGCATGGGAATCCCCGTCACGCTGTCATCAGTGGCAGATTCGAAGAAAATCAAATATCAGTTTCGATGTTCGACCGTTTCAGCTCCTCGGATAGATCGCAGAAGGAAGACCTTCAAGCTGCGCGACCGTCCGTGTTCAGGTCGAGAACACACCACTCGGTCTTGCTGGTGATCCGGGAATCCACCTGCTTACGGGAAATACTCAGATTTGCAGAAATCACCCTGTTCGCGGTATCTCTCGAGTGATGTGTTCCCGGAGGCCGGGGTCCGCATGGCGCCGCAGGCGCTCAACCTCAAGAAATCTGAATGCTGGCGCCATTCGAATGATCCCAACCACCTCCTTTTTATACCGGCTGTGTCCGGCTTTGGGTTTCTGGCTGTGTTTGGAGGAGGTAGTGTCGGCAGCAGAAGTCTGTGCGCAACACACGGCGACGAGCGTCCTAACTCCCCTAGCCGGAGCTCCACTGCTAGCGAAAATCCGGTGATAGGAACAGAAGTCGGGAATTGCTCTTGGGATAATCCCTGCGAATCCAGCAGCGGCCTCGTCATGGCCGGCACTTATCCGATATCGAATTTGCTTGACAAAATGACTTCAGCTGACAAGGATTACAGATTCATGGCCACGAACGATCTCATGACCGAGCTGCAAAAAGATTCGATTAAGCTCGACATTGCCTCGGAGGAGAAAGTTGTCCAGATGCTTCTGTTATTACTTCGCGACAAGAACGGTGAGTGCCCATGGCGATCTCTCGAATCGAGCGGGAGAGCTTTCCGATGTGCCGGTTCTTCGGCTCGGTTCCGCGAATCGGGACCATTTGAGGAACCGAAGGCCCGCTAGAGTTCCCGCCTTGAACTCCCAGAGGCTAAGCATGGCTCCAAGCCAAGGGCGCATCTCCATGAGCGTGAGATCCGATCCGATGCAGAATCTTCATGTCATCCGGGAACACCGGTCCCGCGCCTCTAGACGAATCCCCCAGTGAATCACTCTACGCGAATCCAAACCTCGATCGATCTACCCGAGACAGTGCTTTCTGGTGTTCGTAAAAGACTCCAACTCCGGTTTCCATCGTCCATTGATTTTTCGAATTATGAGGATGAGGCGCGAGCCCGGAATCCTGTGCCGACATCGGCACGAATCAGCGTGGACGGCTCCGTACTCAGGCTCGTCTTGACTCTTGATTACAGGTGAGGTGCAGAACCTGGCTGTAAAATGTCTGGGACCTGTCGTGAACAAGGTTCGAGAAAATTTCGTGGAGCTCATCGTCGAGACCCTCTGCCAAAACATGGTCTGTGAAAAAGCCGAAGAACTGCGAGATATATCGTCCATCGGGCTGAAGACAGTTATAAACGAGCTACCCTCGAACAGCAACGATCTTGTGGTTTCAATCTGCAAGAAGATCACGAGCAGATTGAACTCGATCGTGGCTGACAGCACTTCGAAACAAGAAGAAATTTCTATACAGCTAGAAGTTCTGGACCTCTTCGGAGATCTCCTCAGCCGTTTCGGTATCGGCTTGGTTTCTTATCATGCGTCGATTCTCGAGGCTCTCCTACCTCAACTCCGCAGTCCTCGACTGGCAGTGCGCAAAAGGGCCATCACTTCAATCGGGTAAGGATTCTTGAAGCACAGATGTGACTTTCCTCTACCGAAGATATCCGTTCCAATGGGATTTGACAACCCTGTCTGAAATTCGTCCTGGTTCCGCAGATATTTGACTGCCACCTGCACGGACAGTCTTTTCAATAAATTCATGGAGAACATCATTCACGAGCTGTCGAAGAACTCCGACCCTTCGCTCACGCGTACATATATTCAGTGCATCGGCACGACTTCCCGACATTCGGGGCATCGCGTCGGTAACCATCTAGACAAACTGATGCCGTTGCTGACCGGCTTCTGCGTCCGTGCTGAAGAGTTCGGTGACGAACACGGCGACGAACTCCGCGAGTACTGCATCCAAGCCTTCGAAGGGTTGGTCAGAAGGTGTCCCAAAGAAATCACCGGTGAGTGGATATCTCGGCGAAATCTCTCGTCCATGGACTCCGATGGGATCTTCGATCCCTTTGTCGAGCGAATTCTAACGGTCGCTGTTTCCAATCACCGTAGGTCACATCCCTAGCATCATCTCGATATGTCTCGATTTCATCTGTTACGATCCCAATTACAATTATGACGATGACGACGATTCCGAAGAGGGCATGGAGACCGATGGTGAAGTCGATGAGAGCGACGAAGAACCCGACGAGGAATATTCGGACGACGACGACATTTCCTGGAAAGTCCGGAGAGCTTCAGCGAAGTGCCTCGAGGCGACGATATCCAGTCGCCACGACATGTTGATCGACTTCTATAAGACGATCTCACCGCAGCTGATCTCACGCTTCAAAGAACGTGAGGAAAACGTCAAGGTGGATATATTCAACGCCTACATCGCGCTTCTGCGGCAGTCGAGATCTTCCGGACCTCGGGGCGACGAGTGTAATGAGGGACCAACCCAGATGCTGCGGGAGCAGGTGCCTCATCTCGTCAGATCTCTAACCAGCCAGCTCCGCAAAGAGAAGAAATCCATCAAAACCCGACAGGGCTCCTTCCACCTGCTGTCGGAGCTCACGGCCGTGGTGCCCGGAGCTCTGATCGAGCACATCGCCGATCTGGTCCCGGCCATTCAGACGTCTTTGTCGGAGAAAGACAAGACCACATCGTCGAACATGAAAATCGACACCTTGAACTTCCTCCAGCAGCTCATCGCGACTCATCCAATCGAAGCCTTCCACCCCCACATCCCCATTCTGGTGCCAGCCGTTATCCAAGCCGTATACGACTCGTTCTACAAAATCAGTTCGGAAGGCCTCAACGTCCTTCAACTTCTCGTCAGGGTCATCCGACCGTTCGACGGACAACCGAATGCTTTCAATTTCGGTCCGTATGTCACGCAGATATACCAGTGCACTCTGGTCAAGCTGAAAGCGACCGACATCGACCAGGAAGTGAAGGAGAGGGCGATATCCTGCATGGGTCTGATCATCTCCATTCTCGGCGATCATCTACGGGAGGAACTCCAGACGTGTCTGCCGATCTTCGTCGATCGACTCCGGAACGAAATCACCCGGTTGACGACGGTGAAGGCCCTCACCCAGATCGCGGCTTCGCCGCTGAGAATTCCTCTCGATATCATACTTTGCGACGGAGTGTCGATCCTCGCCAGTTTCCTCCGGAAGAATCAACGTTCCCTGAAAGTGAGCACTCTGACGCTGCTCGACACGATGTTCAAACACTATCCCACCTCGTTCGATCCGAACATGGTGAACTGCATCATGAAGGAACTCCGTCCTCTGATCCACGAGTCCGACCTGCACATTTCGCAGCTGACGCTGAATCTCCTCACGTCCGTCTCGCAAGTACATCGTCATTCGCTGATGATGGTCACGAAAGAAATTCTGCCGGAGATACTTGTTCTCGTTAAATCTCCGCTGCTTCAGGGGGCGGCGCTGAACGCAATGCTCGAGTTCCTGAAAAGTCTCTCGAACTCGAACGTGGAGGGCGTCGGTTTCCGACAGCTGCTCATGCTGCTGACCGGCTTGGTCTACCAGCAGAGTCAGACGAATCAGCCTATCCACAAGAACGCCTATCACTCAATCGCGAAATGCGTCGCCGCTCTGACCGTTGCCAACTTGAACAATCCAGAAGCGCAACAGGTCGTCCCACAGTTCCTCAGCGAGATTTCAAACTCTTCGTCGACGGACTCCGTGCACCAGTTCGCTCTATTGGCCATCGGTGAGATCGGGAAACACATCGACCTGAGCGGAATCCCCGACCTGAAGGCGGTTCTCGTGAGAGCGTTCGATTCGAGCTCCGAGGAGGTCAAAACCGCGGCTTCGTTCGCCCTGGGCAGCGTCGCTGTCGGAAATCTCCAGGAGTATCTACCGTTCATTCTCACGGAAGTCGACGACAATCCCAAGAAACAGTATCTGCTGCTGCATGCCTTGAAAGAGACGATATCGTGTCAGAGCACGAACGCTTCGACCGTGCACGCTCTGATGCCTTATATCGATCCGATTTGGCATAAGCTCATGAGCAACTGCGAGTGCGAAGAAGAGGGGACCCGGAACGTGGTGGCCGACTGTCTCGGGAAACTCTGTCTCATCGATCACGAGAAGCTCCTTCCTAAACTCACGGCCGCCTTGCAATGTCCTGGAGTTTATGCGCGAGCGACGGTTGTGAACGCCATGAAGTTCACCATCACCGATCAGCCGCAACCGATCGATGCGCTCCTGAAAACGCGCATCGGCGAGTTCTTCGCGGCGCTTAGGGATCCGGATATCAACGTCCGTCGGGTTGCGCTCGTCGCGTTCAACTCGGCCGCTCACAACAAGCCGGTTCTCGTCCGAGATCTCCTGGACCAGGTGATGCCCCTGCTCTACAGTGAGACGAAAGTTCGACAGGAACTCATTCGCGAAGTCGAAATGGGTCCCTTCAAGCACAAGGTGGACGACGGACTCGATATTCGGAAAGCTGCGTTCGAATGCATGTACACGCTGCTCGACTCCTGCATGGACCGCATCGATGTCTATGAATTCCTCACCCATCTCGAAGGTGGTCTCAAGGACCACTACGACATAAAAATGCTGACGTACCTCATGCTAGTTCGTCTCGCAACGATTCGACCTTCGGCGCTGCTTCAGCGGATGGACACCGTCATTGAAGCTCTCAGGGAACAGGCGAACATGAAACTCAAACAGTTCCCCGTGAAGCAAGAAGTCGAACAGCAGGAAGAACTCAAAAGGTGAGAGGCCTGACGACGCGGAATTCATTCAGAGCGACGTTTTTTTTCTTGTATCGTATGCGCTCCCCTCAAATCCGTGAATCGTCATCAAAGTGACTTAAAGAGTTCCTCCTCCTCCCCAGGTCCGCCCTGCGCGCTTTCTCAGCACTGCAACAGATCCCCGACGCGGAAAAGTGCCCGCAAGTCGTAGACTTCATAAACCATATCAAAGGCACTCCCGATCTCCGACGTATGTACGAAGGCATTCAAAAAGATGCGAATCACTCGATCGGCTACAATCACGAAAACTTCCACGAGGAAAACATGGTTTATTGAACTTGGAATGAATGACAAGCTCGAATGGCAGGAAGAAATCGAATGAGTCGACTCTTTCCGACGAGCTCTCGGCAGGAGGTACCTGTAGCTGTCACAAATCGGAGCTCCGCCGGTGCGAGGAGCACTGAATTCGATAACGTAAGCCGTTTTAACATCAAAACGCCAAATGTAAAAAGAGATAGTTGTGTGGTTCTCGATTCAATTCTTGTCGTTAAGACACACCGGTGTTGGTCGGAATGTGTGGCGTAATGTTTTGAGAGCACCAGTCTCCTTGACGGAAAATTCCGTGGAGATTTTTTCTGCTCGAACCGAAGAATCGCTCAGCGAGCTCGAGTCGCTACGTGAGTCCTCATCGTCTGCAAGATCAGCCGCTTTTTCATCGGGGAGAATGGAACAATAAAGTTAAGGGTTGACTGATTTCGAATCGTTCAAGGTATACGTTTTTCTTTTATTGAGTTATTCGAGCGATGTATTGGATGCTGAAGATGAATTATAGTACATGTCTAAGATTCTCAATATCTTGGATTCCCGCCGGAGCGTGGGGGAGTGATGGCGATGTCCAAGTAGTCACCGATCGTGAATCGGAAGTCCCGCAAGGTCTTGGTGTCATCTGGGCCCTTCTGACCAGATACCTAAAAGGGGAGATACATGGGAGTCAACTTCGGTCCGCTACAGACTCCGGAATATTCAAACTGCCGATGCCGATCTCGGGTCGATCCGTGCGGTTGGTCGGTGGGTCAGTCTCTTAAACGTCAGGAGAGAAAGGGAAAACCGAGATTTGGCGAGGAATATCCCACACTCACCGTGGAGCCAATTTCGCGGAATCTGTACATGGCGCTGTTCCTGTCCGGATAGACAAGAGCGAAGTCGAACACGGTGCCTTTTTTCCGTGCTTCGCGGTTGACTTCCTTTATGAGACCGGTCAGTTCCCGAAGGGACGCGTCCATCCAGGTATAAACTTGCAGCTCATTCGAGGGAACCTGACCCCTCGAATAGTCGGTCGTTGAGTGGTGTCTCACGTTCGAGAGGAATACACGCAGCAAGAGGGGACAGGTCTGTGGAGGTGAGGGCAATAATCAGCGGCATTCGAGCACTTCCGATTCGAGGTCGCGAGAAATTTTCCGATGTATAGCCGGCTTCCTGGAGCTTGCTTCACAGGGAGGAAAATAAAAAACGAACGAAGGAGCGGAAATAATTTCCAAGCACAATTCGATACATCTTGGTGTCTTGTCGACTTCTTAGGAGGGTAAATTCTGTCGCGTGCATTCTCGAGCGTCCAAATTTCGGAGCGAGAGGTGAAACACCTTTCCTCGGCTGCATCAAAAGCCATTTCGACTTGATGCAGCTGCCGGTCCCCGGTGGGTTTAAGAACGTGTAGCGTGATTTGTTTAATCGGAGTTTTGGATTGAGGCTCACCTTTTCCCTGTCGACAGGTTTATCAGCGTTGAACTTCACAGCTTCCATTCTCTTGGATTATTCGCGATTCACTCTCGGGGAAAGGGTTTTTCCGCGGGAATTTCACGGGATTCAGGATACAAAATCAATCGAACCGCCTTCAGACTCAGCCTGCGTGTGCTCTTTGTTTTGAAGGCACCACAGAGAAGGAGAGCAAACGCGAGATCAAACAATGACAATTGGGAGAGGGAAATGTGTCCCGAAGATTTGGGATCGGACCCGACGGGAAGCCCGGTTTCCAAGCTGCGTGATTCTCGCAGGTATCGGCAACAGCTGAGGAAAGTCAACTTCAGAGAGAAATCCTCAGTTTCCGGAACTGGTTCGCAGAGCTTTCCGTTTCGAGGCTCTTCGGCATCCGGGTGCTGCAGGCCCAGAGGGCTACGCACGGGTGACGCGGTGCAGGGTACCGACAGCGAACTAGATCCTTGAATACGTGCCAAGCGTGGAGCTTGATCGCGGAGAAAATCCCGACACTCGACTAATCCGAGCCGCGCATTCCTTCTTCGCGGGCTGTTCGCAGCATCTCCACAGAGCTCCCACCCAAAGCGAGACTTTGTTGTAGCGGGGAGCGGAGCGATATTCATAACGGGTTCAGGGCAATGGACTCACATCGAATGTAGGAATACTGCTTCATGTCCGAACGGACGTGCTGAAGCAAGTTTCATCGCTTGATGTATACAACGTCAGAATCAGTGGACGAACCCTTCCAATGGTCGAGCAGAAGAGTCGCTCGTTGGGATGAGAATCCCGAGCCGTTCGTAGCGTTTCCGGGTGCGTATCACCCAATTTGCTGTCTGCGGAAGAAAAAGACGGCACCGAGAGGAGCTGACTGAGACCACGGTTGGTTCCGCAAAACGGAGAGCGATGTGGTTATCGTGAGCCGTTCGATGCTGAGAAGGCCGCCGGATGGCTTCTAGCTGTTCGTGAAACTCGTTCCACCCCGTAGCTACGCGTCGGTGGAAGAAGAGAAGGAAGACCCAGCGAGAAGAAACAGCAGCAGCAGCAGCAGCACCAGCTACTCACCAACAGCAACAACAACAATAGAGCCCTAGGGAGAAATTGTAGGTGGTAGTTTCTTCATCTTCACTGCCGCCACCAACGCCGCCAACGCCGCTACCGTCAGCTTCGCTATGGATTATAGTCTAATCGCTACCGGATTGGATCCGACTTCGGATCTCAACGCAGGCCTCAGCATTCCCAAACCGAATGCGAAGCCATACAAGCGAGTGCTTGGGGGCGAATACAATTCGATAATTCCTTCGGAAGATGGAACTATGGTTCAAGGTCCTCTCAGGAACATGACAGCATTTCTTATGGAGGCCCACAAAAAGCCAACGTACCGGGACCATTCAAAAGCACCACTGCGCCGATTGAGTGTCGACCTCATCAAAACCTACAAACACATCAATGAAGTTTACTACACGAGAAAAAAGCAGAGACGCGCCGCACAACAGCAGCAGGCCGTACAGTTGGAGTCGGACTCGAAGGAGGACGCCACCGGCTACGACGATGAGAACGATGACTACATCGTGTCGAAAGGACAAGTGTTCGTCGGACGGTACACGATCGACTGCTTGATAGGCAAAGGCTCGTTCGGCCAAGTTGTGAAAGCCTATGACAACGAAGAGAAGAAATACGTAGCCATCAAAATCATCAAGAACAAGAAGGCCTTTTACAACCAGGCGCAAATCGAGATCCGACTCCTCAACATGATGAACGACTTCTGTTCGGCGGGTGCCGAAAAGGTCGTCCGGCTCTGGGGACACTTCAAGTGGAAAAATCATCTTTGCCTCGTATTTGAACTGCTGTCATACAACCTATACGATCTTCTAAGGAACACAAACTTTCGTGGTGTGTCGCTCAACTTAACGCGGAAATTCGCGCAGCAGATGTGTACGGCTTTGTGTTTCCTGTCGTCGTCGCAGGTGCAGATAATCCACTGCGATTTGAAGCCGGAGAACATTTTGTTATGCAACCCGAAACGCTCCGCTATTAAAATTGTTGATTTCGGTAGTAGTTGTCAGGTAGGCCAGCGAGTTTATCAGTACATACAGTCGCGCTTCTATCGATCGCCCGAAGTACTCCTGGGCATCCCGTACGGGCTTCCCATTGACATGTGGTCACTGGGTTGCATACTTGTCGAGATGCACACGGGTGAGCCGCTTTTCTCTGGATCCAATGAAGTCGATCAGATGAACAAGATCTGCGAAGTGCTCGGCATGCCTCCCAAATCGTTGCTCGACCACGCCCGGAAAACGGCGAAATACTTCGACCATCTGCCGGACGGTACGTACTACCTTAAAAAATGTCCATCGGGCAAGATCTACCAAGCACCGGGAGAACGCCGATTGCACGACATCATCGGAGTCGAAACAGGTGGACCTGGAGGAAGGCGACTGGGTGAACCGGGTCATAGAGTTCAAGACTATCTCAAGTTCCGAGATCTTGTGTTAGCGATGCTCGACTACGATCCAGCGAGTCGAATCACGCCCGTCGAGGCATTGCTCCACCCGTTCTTCAGTAAAAGTGAAGACGACCGTCCGCTTGTCAAAGACTGATTACGGATGGGAGACGAATGCTCGTCGGACGCAGGGGTTTCCCGTCTACGTCTGACAGAGCCTTCGAGCCGATAAGCAGCTCAATCGGTAGGTCCCTCGGTCGGTCATTCTCTCAATCGGCGATTCAGTCCACGACGGCAGCTGTAGCAGCGATGAGCACGATGTCGATCGGTCCAATCCGAGGGTAACGAGACCACTGGAGGAGCTCCTGGGCTCGAACCCCTCGTCTTCGGGAGCTCAGATCCAACGTTTGTGTGGGACGACTTGTACTGGGAGCGAATCGTCTGAGATGCTCCGAGGCATCGAGTTCGTGCCCAACCCGAAGACGACCAAAAATAACAACAACAACAAAATTTACATCGACAACGACGACAACGGATAAATGATGAAAAGAGGAGGAAATATCGGCTCCACGTTGTCCGCAGCCATACGACGTTGCTTGCGCTGAAGTTGCTGGTGGATCATGCCGGACGAAGTCTCGGTATTCGACATGGTCTTTGTTCTGCTGAGAGTCGTCGATAAGCGCGAGCCGTAGATATCATCCTGTAGCACGTGACATCCCGTAGAACAAGGAGCCCCCGCTGCCCCTGTTCTCCTATTCACAGCAGCAATACGATCTAAGAGGAGGATATGTTACGCCTGCAGCGCGTGTGATGTGAGCGTGAAACCGTCTGTGCAATTTGCGCGAAGTGGACCTCTGCAACTCAAATAGGTCTTTCGCTCTCTGATGACCCACGTTTTGAAGACGCGACGTCAATTTCACTCATATGTAAATATATGATATTTATTTCGTTCACTGTGTGGTGAATATGATGAGATGGAGTTCTTGCGGCCGCAGCAGCAAGTAGATGATGATGATCGTCAGTAGTGGAAGCAAAACAAAAGTTTCTGTGCGTAAGCGGGTGTCCCCGCCGGTCTCTTTCCCTGTAAATATTTCCGAACCAACTCTGGAAAAATCACTTAGAAGCAATGAATGACAAGCGTGGACGAGGATGAAGTGTACGCCGCTTACATACTTCGGAAAATCATGGAGGCGGATCGACAAAGCGAGGAAGTAGTCTACTCGAAGATATTCCCTTCCTTGCCACACAAGGAGAATACTGAAAATTATAATATTTGTAATCGTTCGGAAAGAGAATTGTTTGTGAGAATCGAATTTCGTATCGGCGTCGAAGAAAAATACAAAACGAATTCTGGGTGGCTAGAAAAAATCAAACTCCGTGTCGTTATTCACCTGATGTAGGGCTTCGTTTCCGTTCCGGAGAACGTCGCGACTTTCCGATCAGCTCTCTGTCAGGAGCAAGGCGTATATCCTCCTTCGGTGACTGAGATTTTGTGAGATTTTGGATTTCAATCCGAATCGAGTTCAGACTAATCGTTTGCCACGACTCTTCCAGTGGGACGATCCCTATCGATCGAGGAGTCGCGCACGGGGTCTGTCTCTGCGAGGGAATCGAGGAACGTAATTTCTCGGGCCACGCGCGAGCCTCATGAAGCTCATATTGTCTCGAGCTGCGAATCATCGTTCTAGTGGGATCATATTCCCCCACATAGCTGATCGAGCCCACCATGTCGAGGACGCGTAAGCAAACTCGATAGTCCATGCTCGAACAAGGCGACGTTCTTGGAGAGGCTTGCTAAAAACGAAGGCCATTCACGAGGCAGTCGGAAGCTCGATCTGCGGATTTCGAGGACCTGCGAAGAATGTCGCACAGAATGCTGCGTCAGCGAAGTTCACGGAGAAGACACGCCCCGACAGATATCGGAGATCTGGTTGAGATCCGTTTCGCTCCTTTCGAAACGCACCTAAGGCTCATGCTGTGAAGCCTTTGCATCTATTCAGGCGGAGCAGGAACCCCCGATCTATCTTGGCTGGAGGAAACTTCTCCAACAGGTCTCGGATTTTCTCCCGCGAATCCGGATTTGGCTGGACGCCCCCGTAGTTCGACACTCTCGCAATTTCGCAATCACCGTCCTTCGCTCATTCTGACTGCTAGTCATAGCACTCCCTTAGCCTGCTGTGCTAGGCAGAATCATCGAAGCTGTTCCCGCAAATGTCCCGAGTGATTAAGTGCCGTCGGGTTGACCATCACGTCTTGAGCTTGAGTTTTCAATATTCCGTTGTCGGTAAAAAAAAATATCCGTAGTTCCTATCTGCTGCTAGTATTTGATGGGGAAAACAACGAACCTCCGTAATCATTGATACTGAGCATACTGAGAGCACGATTCCGGGGCTCTCCGGAATCAGATCCAGGACAGTTCGAGAATCGGAATGGACGAGGAACGGGACCAAGCCCCAGGTAGAGTTTGGAATCGGAGAAAGGGATCGGGTGTCGGATGCGAGGTTGAATTGGTTTCAACCGTAGAATCCGCCTCCAGGTTCAGCGCAGTACACGCGCGCAATCAAGCAGAGTATGCGACAAGCGATAATAATTGCGTACGATAATTATCCGGACGTCGTGCATTCAGCACAAGTCTGCTTGGAAAGTTTCATAAAGACTGAGCGAGTTCTCACGACGAATCGATATCCGAGGGAACATTACGTTCAGGAACAGCATTGTCTGGTGGCGATCGATTACGCGGACCGTATAGCTAAGAAAAGATTCAATTTCCTCGATGCACGGGAGGATCTCGGGAATCTCGCTGTTTTATACGAAGAGTTCGTGTCGCGTGATCCTAGAGCAGCCGTCACGTCACTGCGTCTATTCCGGGCATTGGTGCAAATTATATCGGAGCTTGCGTCCCTGATCGAAAACCAAACAAGAGTTCAGATAACGAATTGGCAATCTGTTCTGGAATTCTACGCTATTCCCGTGACGTCGAGCGTAAAGACGGAAGATATCGCGAACCTTCTTCCCCGTGTCTCTCAAATCACAGAGATTAAAGTATTGGGTGAGTCCCGTTCTCTGATTGATGCATACGGCTCCGGGATCTGTACCGGCCGAATCAGGAACCGCCCCCAATGAGGCAGGGTAAACGATCTTCCGCTGAATTCGGCCTCGAAAAGGTATCTCGCTCGATCAGGTGCCGGAGGCTTCGGCGCTATCTATCATGTTCGCGTTGGCAACATCAACCTCTCTGGGAAACTGGTGCCGACTGCGAAATTCAAAACAACGAAACAAGCTTGCGCTGAGAAAGTGGTTGGGAGCATGGTCAACAGCCCCCTGCTCGTCCGGTACCACGCTTGCTATCAGACAAGTCACGCCTACGTGACGCTCATGGAATACATCAGAGGCGTGGACTTGCAGCGGATCATCCAGGGGAGGACGAATTTTTTGAACGATGATGTCAACAAGATCATCTTAGCGCAGCTGGGATTAGCTCTCCAGTATCTTCACTACCGAGGCTTCATCCACAGGGACATAAAGGTGAATGAGCTCGGCTTGTTGGTGTCCGATATTCGAGCTCCAAGTTCGTATTCCTCCAGTTCGAGTTCAGGAACGCTTTCGCTCAGGATATGAGACCCCGCATCCAATATTCCAGCCGTCGAATGTCATGATCCATCCGACTTGCCGCGTCCAGCTCATCGATTTCGACACGTGCAAAATATGCGTTGGGAGGTTTCTGTCCGGAAACCAGAACAGTTTCATTAGACGAACCTTCGTCGAGTTCAATGACGGTGAATCCGCTGGAACCCTCTATTTCCTTCCGCCCGAAATATTGCGGAGAAAGCCCTATGGCAGAGCGATGGATTGGTGAGAGAGGTTTCTTCGCATGGCGCTGGAAATTTCCCCCCCAGCCCCCTCCTCATTCATACAGGGATCACCCTGTGAATGAACGACTCGGAATATCCACTAGGTGGGCTCTGGGCGTGACGTCTTACCAGCTCTGCTCAGGGAAGCTGCCCTTTCGAGGCTACAACGAGAAAATACTGAAGGAGCGAATAAAAAAAGGACATGTCAAGTACGTATCAGGAGCTACCCTGCATCAGGAGCTCACCAAGAAGTTGCTCGTGAAGTTCCCGACGCGTAAGAAATCCCGTCTCATCTCAGTATCGCTCTTCCCTCCAGAGACCTCCTGCCCCCAATGCTCGATCGGCACGGCATCGCTTATTCCTACGCCTCGAACGTGTTTCGTGATTTCAGAACGTATAACGTCGGCTCGCTTCGAGGATTACAAGAACCATGCTTGGTTCGGATCTGTCGATTGGCACCGGATGGGATGTATCGATCCAGCGCCTTTGAGCTGTTTCTTCAATGCACACGACGGCACCTTTTCACCAAAAGCTGATATGGTTGCCCATAAAGTCAAGGCCAAGAAACTCCTGAACTTTAGCCAAGTTTATGATTTACCAGCTCACGAGCAAGAGCCCTTATTCACCCTTTTATCGAGAGGTTTCGAGTATAGTATGCGCAAATTACACTCGGGGGAAATGGCCTCTGAGTCCGACATGACCGAGCCGTTCGAGTCCGCTGACACCAACGTGAAGTTTTCCAAGTACAAGTTCAACAGTGAGTCTCTGCGCCGTGCCTCTGGAACTTGTGGATGCCGAGCTTCCATCACTGTCACGCTATCGAGTAATACTTCTTGGCGCAGGTTACCTGATTGGCAAGAACAAGAGCAAGATCAAACAGGAGTCGATATCTGATACTTTGAACAACGACGCCTTTGAGCAAGAGGTCATCACGGAACAACAATGCTCTCTGGATGAAGAGAGCGTGAAGGAGGCTGAGCAAGCTGCGCCCATCGCCGCATCGACGGACGAGGACGATCTACCGCAAGCAACTCTCCATCAAGCTGCGCAATTAGCTAACACGAAGGCGGATTAGAGTTGTTGGTTTGTTTTCTCGTACTACAATTTATGTTGGAGCCCTATAAATGATGATGATGGACATGCGATGGGTATCATTTCTTCTCTGCTCTCCCTGATCGCTGGTTCACGCGGAACAAACGATATTCGCCAACAAACCCGCAAATGATTCCGGAACCTGACGGATTTCGACACAAATCGAATCGTCACTCAAAGGAAACCTCTTGGTTCTGCTTCCGAAACTGATCGTATGAGAATAAGCCATCCAGATTCCTGAAAAGTAGACGTGTTGCAAGTCTCATAGAGCCATGAGCATGGTCATGGAAAAACGAATCTTTTGTACCTTTGCCCGAACGACCAAGTCCCTCCGACATGGAACCGTTCCCTAGGCTTCGAGACTTGCAAAGGAGCCGACGCTACCGCACCGGCGATCGATTCAAACTTCGGCGCCACCCGAAGGCCGACTATTGGATGAACGCATCGGTTGTCAGAGCATCAGCTGGTTGCATGGAGAGCAATGCTGGACTCCAGGAGCTAAGGCGAGATCCCGCAGACGACGCGCACTACCCGTGAGTTTCTCCAACACAAGTTCAATCTCAGACCCTGGAGAATATTCTGAAACTGACTTCCATCGGATGTCGGCGCCTACGACCGAGTCGAAGGGAACTGTTGTGACAGCTGCTCTTCCTGCCGCATTCCACCGCATTCCCCGCTGAAAAGGTACTCCCACAGAGTACTTCTCCTCACATCAGCTGGACGAGCAATACGTCACATGAGTGGCGGTGCAGAGTGAGGTTTCGATGGCAGGATTCTCCCCCTACACGCGGAAAAATGCTCGTACATGTGCTTGTGGTAGGAGTTCGATGGCTTGAAGCTCTTCGCTTATGGGGTGATGGTTGTCTATCTGAACAAAAGACACCCTCCCTTTTCAAGTCTACGATTCCCCCATTATCCGTCGGATGACTTCAAAGTGAGAGAGAAATTTCGAGATGGTTGAGAAATGAGATCCGGAGAAATTTTCGGTGGTTTTCTTTGTCGATGTCTGCTTCCGGTGAGAGCCCGTGTCAGTCGTGGCGGCCTTGCCTCCAGGAGGTGCTCACGTCGAGAGTGGGTCCCCATCGTTCGGGATCGATCCGTCGCTGTTGCGACTTCTTTCATCGTGGCTGCGGCTATTGCCGCAGATTCTATTACAATCGATCGATTGGAATCATGTTCCCCGCTTTGAAAGTAGATTTTGCGTCGAAACCGCGATCAGAGAGTGGCAAAATCTTGTCGTTCAGTTAGCGATCGATTGGGTTCTCAGAATTCTCCGGTCCTTTCTCGACGACCGATGATTCACGCACTGTTTGACCATGCGCGTATTCGTTGGACATCAGCGGTGTCCGTTGCTTGAAAGGCTCGTTGCGCGGCCAACTCTTAACGAGAACGCGCTCCCGTACCGTTCTCTGTGCGACCCGACGGACGACCGAATTCGGATTCGGGCTGGCTCCCTTCTCTTCCTCCATCACTCGCTCTGCTTTGGAATGCACTCGGAGTATCTTCCGACGGAGCCACTTCTTCGGACAGCGCGACCATCGAGACTCCCTGTCGAGGAACGAGAACGCTCCGAATTCTTTCACGGGGAGCTCCTTCGTCATCCGCGGGTTCCTCCAAAGTCGTCAGACCTCCGTTGGGCAATCCGCGAGTAAGGTCGATGGATCGACCACGGCGAAACACCTTGTTATTGCTTGTAAACAGATTCCAAAGATTCGAAAGCTCACTGGCGTGTGGTCTGGCAGGCAGGCGGGCGGGCATGCGTTTGCTCAAAGAGGCGGAGGGACCGTCGCGTATTATTAGGAAGTGGCAGCGAGATTTCGAGATCTTCTTTGTTTATTGCCCCGAACTTATCACAAAGGCTTGCGAGTATCCTCTCCGATTGGACCTGCTCGAAGGAGGGTCGACGGGGGCGAGCCTGTTGTTCCCGTCGACGAATTTGTGAAATCGGCGAGGAGAACTGGCCGGTGTCCTTCTCTCCGAGAGATTTAGCACGGTCTTAATCACTTCAGTAGAGCCAATATTAAATGTGAGTTCAACAATGCAGCTCAAGCCATGAAGCGATTCCGGTAAAATGACTTCTCCGCCTCAAGTTTCTCATGGACGAGCTCTTCCCAAAGATTCTCCCCGATCTCTTCGTGTAATAATCGGCAGCAGCATCCAGTCAGCGGCACTCTCTCCTTTGACGTTTCATGAGGTATTCCATTCCAGATCACTCGTTATGCATCCCACGGTGATGAGCGATGCTGGGCCGTGGGTCATGTTCGAATCGATCACATACCTCGGAAATCGGCCGTGGCCCGCCAGCGACACGCGATCGTTCAAACATATCATTGTCGAATACATGCTCAGAGCTATGGATGCGCCCAAGGAAGAGCAGATCCGAGTCGCTCTCAAGCTACCAGCCCGTGCAGATGGCAAGGCAGTGTAAGTCTCTCGGAAGTCTAACGTCGGAATGGTGTTGTCAACGTCGTCCCGATAGCGCATGATGACGGTTCACTCACATCGACTGCTTGATTCGTTGAATGACTTACTCACGCCAGCTCACGAAGTGCCAGATACGAGCAAATTTGTTTTCACTCGTGTAGAATTAATCCCAATCTGACACCAAATGCTTGTTGGTGACTAGATCTGCGACTCCGCGCGTTTAGCTGTGGCGCGCGAGCTGTTACGTTGGATAACCCGTCCCTATCCTTGATTTCAAACATTGATCGATGTTGCGTTCTAACGATGGCACGAAGCATGGTCTGTGTTCGCACCCCTTGGGGTACTCACTTTTCAACAGTAATTATTTCAGACTTCTCTGTAAAACGACAGGCGAGGAAATTTACTCCTTGCCCATTCGACAAATAAGCCAGTTCACCACGGGCCTCCGAGAGCACCCTGGATGCTTCGCCTTCATTTACTATCCGGTGTTATCCGACAGTGAGTAATCCGAGCGCGGATCGAGCGATTTTGGTATGACAGAGTCAAAGAATTTCCATTTAGCCTCGGGACTGAGATGGGTTGCTCTTGCAGAAAACCAGCGGAAAATATTCTGTTTCAACGCGGTTTCTGCGGACGTCGTTCAAGAAGTTCAGAAGAGAGTCTTCCAGGCCATGCATTCGATACAAATTTCGAATGAAGCTCACTTTATAAATACGACCGAAGGCGCACAGCAGATAGTCAACGTTCAGGTTGGAATCGGACTCTTCCAGAGCGAGACATGATCTCTTCTAGACTTTCGAAAGCATAGGATGATGCGTTCAACGGGGCAATCTATTCCAGATGACGCTCGACATCCGTGAAGAGGATTCTCGGGGACAGTTCGTTCCTTGCGCGAGAACTACCGAAGTTTTCAAACTGAGACGGAACGTCGAGAAGCAAATCGTACTTACTATAGATCCAACGACGCAGCCTAGTCCAGTGATAATCGAAAGATGTTTCGGTGTTCTGGTGTCTCCGGGGCGGCACGTCCGCCACAGCGACATGCAGCTAATTGGCACCGGTGAGTTCAGCTCCGGAGATGTTTTTCTGTGGCGATATGTATGTGTTTTTGAGGCATAAGTCGCGAGGATCTTATCGAGTGTTCCGTGACTCCATCCACAGATCTCGGTATGTTGCTTGTTGTTTGTTTGCATGCGGTTTTCTGTTCGATCTTCTCAACGAGTCTCTTTGTGTCTCCGAGAACTGATCGTTAGATTCTGAGTACTCGATATCTGAACGCCTCATCTTCTTATTCCCTTGGTAAATCGCTAGGCAACAACGACACGAATCAGCCCTCGAGTCCATCGAGCGGATTCCATGTCGACGCTTGCTGGGATCCCAAAGACAATCCCTCCTTCGAACTGCTGAATACAATCACGTCGGGGGAGTCACGGGTCTACTTGACGGTGGCTTGCGATCTCGTCCTCATGCGCGTCAAGGAACCGGTTCGCTTCGTATTCGAAACCCAGGCTCGAATCGGACCATCACAGGAGAAGAATAGGGCTCTTTGGACTTTGTCCAACGCTCTGGGTACCGCCTCCTCGAAACCCTTCTCGGAAACGTTCACACTGATTTTGAAACAGGTGATCCCCAATTCTCAATACTTCACTTATCAAGGGGTCTTTCGATCGCGCGAGCTGCGAATGAACAACATACTCATTTCTCTTGCAGTCCCACGACTGCTTCGAATTGGTTGAAATGACGACGTCAACGGGCAAAGTCCTCCATCCCATCGAACAAACGCTAGAAAGCGGAGAATCCGACGAGGACGAGCCACTGCTGTCCGGGACCGGACTCGTTTGCAAGGAAAGCGGCCAAGAGAAGCTCGATGAATGGTCGAATTTAATCTCGGTCTGGGAAGGCAATCCCAAACCGAAAGAAGTAGACATCCTCATTCAGAACCACGGAGTGCCACAGGTAATCATCTCGACGGAGCGGCTCCCAAATAATCGGAACGATCGATTTTGGAGAGCCAGCCTCACTCACTCGAACTTCCGCCATCACCAGGTGCTCCGAGGTCAGGTCTGGCAACTGTTGACCACGTCGACATCGAACAATGAAAATTATCAGCTGTATCAAATGCTGGTGAAGAAAGAAAACGTGCCGTCAGTTGACCAGGCCATTGAAAGAGACATTCACCGAACGTTCCCGGGTCATGAGTTTTTTAAAGAAGCCCAAGGACAGGAAAAACTGTACAGACTGTGTAAAGTACGTGTCAGGAGGTTTCTGAAGATCGCGATGCATATAATGGAGAGAGCCTGCAGCCGAATATCGTTGTAAACTGTATTGTGGGATCATGCTCATACCTTTTTGCTTCTCTCAGGCCTACTCTCTGCACGACACGGCAGTATCATATTGCCAGGGCCTTTCGTATCTAGCAGCAGCCCTCCTCTTGCACATGCCGGAAGAACAAGCGTTTTTTATCCTGAACGTCATCATGAGTCACGAAAAATATAATACTCGGCAGCTCTACCTTGACAACTTTGAAACACTTCATGTGAAGGTGAGAACAGCCCTGGCCTTGCATCTCCCTCGCGGATCCTTCGCTCCACTTTCACTTCCGGAAGACCCCTCTCCAACGAAATCCTCACTCTTCCAGTTATATCAGCTGATGAAGCTGTACACAGAGAAAATTCCCGAGATCGGAAGTCACTTCCGGGATCTCGGCATCGAAGCGCATATGTTCGCTTCGCAATGGTTCCTAACACTGTACACTGCGAAATTCCCACTGTATCTGGTGAGTGTCACTATGGTCTCGACCGGGTCTCTGCTCCGATCTTGAATGACAGGGAAGTCCTTTTTCGCAGGTCTTCTTGGTTTTGGATAATTTTATGCTGACGGGACCGGATTTTCTCTTCAAATTCGCGGTAGCTATCCTCATGGAGAGTAAACGGGACCTTCTTACCCTTGATTTTGAGGGCGTTCTCAAACACTTTAGGTGAATATTCCTGATCTGTAGCCTCCGAGCATCGCTGAATTGAACAATGTTCTCTCCGCCGGACTCTCAAGGGATGCCATAATTTCGATCCGGTTCCAGGGTATCGATCCCGCGAAAATACCGCAGTGAGGAGGCTGCGCTCAAACTCATTCGCGCCGCTAACCATGTCAAGATCACTTCGGCGAAACTCAAGAAATGGGAGAAAGATTTCCTCCAAGAGAAAGAAGCAAACATCGATCCGAACGAGAAGCTACAGAAAGACTATCGTCTACTGCTCAATTCTCAGCAGAGACTCGATCAAGAAAACGACGATCTCGCTCAAGAGCTCATCGTAACTCGCTTCGAACTGACACGCCAGCTCGACGAAGCGAACGATAAGTATGTGAATTTTCCATTCGAGTCTTTGGAAATCATGATTCCGATATTCATTGAGGCGAGCTCCTCGATGGAGGTCAACCTGACGCGGCTTCTATTACCCGCCCAGGATCGAGAGTTTGCGGAAAGAAGTAGGACAACTCCAGCAATACAACACGGACGTGTCGCAAGAAAACGAGGCTCTTCGGTCCCAACTGGAGCAATTGAAAGAAATGTGCCGACGGGAAGCCGAGAACGCCGAGGTGGTTCGATGCGAGAACAATGCTACGATCCGGCAACAGACCGACACCATCTCCGAGTACAAAAAAATCTGTGGACGACTTCAGGAAGTGAATCAGGCTATCCAAGCCGATTGCAATCGGAATAAACGCAAACAAATGGGCGAGGATACTCAGGTTTGTTTGATCCTCTCGATAGATGGTCTCGAAAACGAGAACAGTGAATTCCCCTCATTCGGGACGCCGCATGATCGGATCGGTACCTGATCCGGACCTAATATCCGCTCCCGGATCGAGCCTATCGTGTGTCGCTCTCGAGGATCGGATTCTTTGCTCAATCAAAGCAGGACCCCGATCCGGTTGAGTTAGACGGGGTCCGCTGCACCTCCGCAGCCAATCGATGATTCTCCGATCCGGAGACTTTTCGGGGTCCTTCGAGTCCCACAAGATCCCATTCTTCTCTGAACTCTCCTTCTATGTCTTCCAGGAGGAGGAAACCGAGTTGCAGCAGCAATTGAGAGAGCTGGAGCTAGAGTTGGCTCAGACGAAACTGGCCCTGGTCGAGAGCGAATGCCTGTGTCAAGATCTGAATCATCAGCTCACAAGAATCGTGCAAGATAAAGAAAAGTCGAAAGAGAGCACCCCGTGGTTGAGCAAAACCATACAGGGAATCATAAAGAAACAGAACTCACAAAACTCAGCAGACTCATAGTGCTCGCATGGCACCGCAAGCGGTCTATGAGAACAAAAATGAACTCCGGTGAGAGCAATGACGTTCTTCCGATCGGTGAGAGCGGAATGCCCGAACTAGCCATAAAGTGAATATATCTAGAGATTTTCATATGAATCTGCTCATATTTATTAAGGCTTTATCGATCTATTGGTTGACTGGAAGAAATGACTTATCGAACTACTGGTTTGTTGCTGACCATTGGAGGCGTGTGATGGTCCTTGTCTGGAGATGCGTGAAAGACATGCTTAGCGTCAGCCTCATTTATAGTGCACATGTTGAATAAACAAGATGTTCCATGTACCCCGTTTTCATTGATGCCACCGGAGGAGACGTTCCTCGGGTTCTCGATCGGGAAAGGATCACTAGGATCTGGGAGCTGATGCATGCACAGCTCATTTCCGGGGAGATCCAAAATGGGCACAATCAACTGAAGCAACTCACATTCATTAGAATGTCATTTGGGATATTTTCCCCTATAGAAGGGCTGTCTTGCCTACAAGCAGGTCCCGGAATTGGTCCCAGATCGAGCTTCAAAGATTTCACAATCAGACAATAGGAGGCGGAGGGGGAAATATTTCTCGTACAATGACTAAGCGTACCGACAATTTCATATCAGGCAGATCACATTTAGTTCATCTTCCGTTCATTAAGGTGAAATCGCCTCGAAAAGATCGACGATCCCGCCTGGCAAGACAGGCCGAGGAAAGAGGTGAGATCATGACCTGCAGTCGACGAAGAGCCCGGACTTTCCACATTACTACCAATTGTACAGTTTCTTGAGAATCTTCTTCTCTCCGGCCTCAATCTTGTTGAAATTAGCTTTCGGTGAGTCCTCATCACAAGCAGGCGTGATCTTATCCCCAGGTCGAACGTTGAACTGGAGATCCAGCATGTTGTCGAAAAAAGGAAAGCCAGGCGGCTCGTCCCCGGTGTGCCAGTCCTTCCGCGAAGATTCACAGTCTTTCTGCCAGATTTGAGGCGGTACGGCCTCCTCGATGAGCTGACCCATCAATTGCACGTAGATTTCTTTACGGTGCTGATACTCTTTGAGTTTATCCAATACCTGGAAGAGATATGCTCTCATACCTTTTCCTCCGATAGTCCGAAGGTTGTCCGCGATCTATCGTTCTGTTTGAAAACAACAACCCCTGGTTCCTTACGTTTTGCAGCTGTTGATGCTGACGTTCAAGTGCGTTTTCGACTTTTGCATGGCAGCGAACTGCGTGGAGACGCTGCCGAGCGGACCGGAACTCCGGTTGAAGTTTCAGCATGTTGTCGTAGCATATAACGGACTTGTTGTACTCGCCCAAAACAGCGTAAATATTACCTGCAGCGGTCAGGGGTCGTCTCATATTAATTTCGGCTCCCCACTGGCTGATATTATTATGGGAGTGAAAGAATGATGATATTGAAACAGACAAATACTCTGCACGAACCGAGAGTGAAATGACAAATTGGATTATCAGGAGCGATATCGATAGCGGCGTGAACGACGACAGCTGCCTCGTCCGAGCGATGGCCCCGATGCAGAACGTTCGCGAGAGAAATCAGAGCCACGTCTTTCACTTCGTGCGGGGAGACGTGAAGGGCCCTACGCAAGCATTCGACAGCTGCAGCCGCGGATCCCCTCTCGCGCCAATAAAGAGCGGCCAGGTTGAAAGCGGTCTGGGGGAGCAATAGACCTTGTTCAATCGAAGAAATGAATATCCGGAATGAAAATAGGTTTTCTTCCCTTCCCGACGAAGAGATATTCTAATTCACGAACCCAATTCGAGTCTGTTTCGAGGAGCTCGGTGATGACTTCACCAAAGTGCTCCACATCCTCGACGTCCGCTTCGGATAAAGCTTTATGAAGACCGGTCTCTGAGACCATTGACAAGTTGCGTCTCTCTCGGACTCCCATCAGATGCTCGAAAGCATGCATACTGAAGTCGAGCTTGAGGTAACGCGTGCAGTCAGGTTCCTGAACTTCTCTCGGGGAGGTCAATTTTCTGGGGCGGAGTTTGGTTTCAAACGGCACCACAGTGGAAACGTAGAGATCCATTTCAGTCAGAGGTGTTCCCGCTATCTGACAATCGGTATCTTCGGCATATAGACGTTCCTCTATGTTTTCTGCTTCTTCTTCGCTCCGGTCGATCTCTTCCTGAAGATTCAGATAAAGCACGGATTATCGAATCTCCTCCTGCTCGCGCGAATCCTGCATGGCACTTTATGCCTCAGAAAACAAAGGGGTTTGGATCTCACTTTTCGCTGGAGCAACTCTTTCCGCAAGGCCCTCACTGTTTCCAATCGTTCCTCTTGTTTGTGTATTAGGGGCAGATCGCCGGGGGACCGCAGAGCGAAAATCGATGGAGACTGCAAAGTTTTCGGAAGTTCCAAGTCATTCTTCGGGTCAGCTATCGGATGAGATGGCTAGTAATTTTCCAGGATGATGAAATCCATCTTTTCGAGAAGGATAATTCCATCCAAGGTAAATGGAGAAGGAAGCGGCAAGGCACTCCAGCTTACATCCTTTCAGGTAAACATTTCCGATGGGGGTAAAGACATGATGAAGAGAGATATTGTGGAAAAATGACTGAAGTGCCTCTGAGGGTCGGAAAAGGGAATGGAGAGCGACGGATTCAGAGAAACGCTTACCTGTGGCCGTATCTCCCCGTCGTCTGATGCAATCCAGTGAGAAAACCCATCTACACCGCAGAGGGCAAACACAATCGTAGCAGCGAAACTGAAAGATATACTGTTTCCTCTCACGCGAGAGTTCATCTCTGAGCTCATTTTCCGCGGGAGTCAATTATATGCAGCTTCGAGTACAGAGGATCCGACAGGCATCGATGGCGGATTCCGCGCAGCCGAAGACGCCCCGAACATCCCAGGGGAATTCCGACTAGAGCTTTAAACTCCAACCGAGCCTATAAAGTAGATTAAAACATCATGCACATCTATAGAATAGAGATGCAGCAGAGGAGCATCACTCGATGGCCATGTGAGTCGCTCGATGGAATCGTCGCGCATAGAAGCGCGCTCCATTTTTAAATTTCAATTGGCAAGTATGGAGCGCGAAAAATCTCGCATAATCGATCTCCGGCTCGCCCCAAGCGGGCAGCCGGGATCGGCTCGGACCAATTCCCCCTCCGAATATCCATGGCGCTCACTTTGCACCCAAATCCGGTCTCATGACGTCATCCCGGGCGATCCTCTCTCTTTTTGGCGCCTCCATCAACAAGACATCAAATTCGGCTGGCACACTCGGACGTACTAAACGGTGTACTCCTGTACCCTTGTGGGTATGCTCAAGATCGCCTTGGATTGTTCGCCTGCCCCGTCCAGCTCAAAGGCGTAGGAGAAATTATAAGCGGTATGAAACTTTTGCCCATCGACAAGATATATGTACAATGATTCCGATGATCTCCGTTGACAGTTCGACCGGAGTGAGGCGGTCCCTCCCACCGTTCTTCACTTGTCGTACCCTTTCGATCACTCAGCTACGTCGCGTCGTAAGACGCAGGATCACACCTCGATCACGCAAGAGCTTTAGCGCATGTTCTGGAATTCAGAGGGAAAAACTCAGTCGAAGAGACAGTGTCTCATCAGGTGCTCGCATTTTTTTTGGTCTGATAGTCAATGAGACGTCGCGTCGCTTCGGTATACCTGTAGACCCAAACCTGAACCGAGTCCTTATTTCTTCGTCCATTGTGGTTGACGGTAGCCCAATCAGAGAACTGACTTGATTTCGAGAATTCCTATTGACGGCCAGTATTCTGTCCCCCTGGCCTCCGAGTCAGTGACGGCATGAGTTTCCACCTTGAATTTAACAATCGAGGAAAGCAGGCTGGCTGACGGGTCGAGCTTTCTTCCCCCCCTCGCATTCTGGCTCCTCCTCCTTCACCGAACGGTTCCCCCGAGTTGCGAGACGAATCTGTCTCGAGTCGCTTGCTTCGTATCGGTGAGAAGGATTAGAGACTTGATATGACGCATGTCTAGGAGAATCGCTCCTTCATACTAGCTCCGGGAATGCAGACATACGTAATGATAAGGAATAATGATCATTCAACACGAGGGAGGAAGGCTCATCTGAGATCAGCAATCCCTTGTGATCCGATAAAATCCGGGTGGAGGTACTGATTCGTGTGTGATCCGACAGGGCTCTATATCAGAATTCGGAAAGGTCAGAAGGGACCGCCTGTTCCCGGTAAGAACTCCAGCAAGAATCATCGACACCGCCGTCCTCGCTCTCTCAACCATCGACAGACTCCTTTTTTCTTGCGCGTTCCACCTCGCGCCATTCTCCTACGCGTCTCCCGAAGCCTTGGAACACAAGTGATCGTACGCTATCTCGAAGCCACGAAATAGCGCTCGAGAGAACGGCTCACCTTCAGCGCGTTAACGCGCTTAGGCTGAATGCCGAACTTCACGACCAACATCAAGGCGCGTGAGGCGCGATTCATCGATCCATCGAGTGAGCAGTGAGGTTCCATCGAGCGATTCCACCCAGCAGGTCAGTGCGAAAGTTCTATAATGCAAAAACGCTCGAGCTGAGTGAAGTTCAGGTGGATAGGACGCGATGAGTATTGGAATGATTCATTCCTAGAACAAAATGTCGAATGTTCGTCGGAGAGCACCAGCGATCCTCAAACGACGATGTCTGCCGCGAACACCGGTTGCTCCACTACCTAGCGGCGAAGTGCTCTACGTCGGCACCGGGAGGAACGCTACGATTTCGAACGTGCATTCCACAATTGCATCGCAATCTGGAAATCGCGGTGCTCCACAGAACACATATGTCGTTGTAGAGTCTGCGGTGGAAGAGTCATCGGTCGACGTCTGGGAGCTCAAGGTCGAGACCGAGAATCCTGGAAAGCCGACTCGGCGGTCTGTGGCAACTCAGGCGGACTTCCCAAGTCGAGCTCTGACCGCTTTGAGCCACCAGTTGACCGAATCGTGCCATAAAGTTTGTCCAACACTCGGAGCGAGATCTCTGCGTGACAACGTCATCGAGAAACTCGTTGAGATCGTCGACGACGCCGCGGAGTCGTCGAAGGCGCGTTTCCTGCTGGAGCAAATATTCGCTTACAAAACGAAAATGCCTCAACATTCCACTTTCATGACTCGTCATTGCAAACTACTGATGGATCTCTCTCAGAAGACTTATCAGCATCTGAAAGAAGTCGACGGAACGGGACTTCTGACTCTGCCCACGAAAGGCACTCTGCGGAATCGATATCCTGAGACGCTTCCAGTGACGACGAAGAATGAAGTCGAAGTGTTGTTACAAATGGAAGCTTCCGCCGAGGGAGCGGACGGGTCTGCCGATGAACAAGCGGCAACCTATTACTACGTCGTCCCCTCGGAGGATATTCTCTCGAACGACTTGATGAACCAATAGCTCAGGATGCTTATTGCTAGCAGATCGAGCATGGTGAGGATTCTCTCGGGTGAGGAGAGTAAGATGACTTCTAAGCAGTTTTCAAGCGTCGGAGCTCTACTCGGTCGAGGGTTGTAGCCGGATTTGAGATATGTACTTCCGTCCCAATAATTTACACCCAAACTCCTGTTGATGAACGAATCACTTCATGGAGTTCTCGATTTTCGGGATCGTATATCAGAACTCTGTGCCTTCCAGAGGGAGCACTCGCTCCACAGATCAGATATTCGCCGGCGTTTCGCCTTCTTGGGGTCCTGTACATGAGTAATGTTCTCCCGAGATGTCGACCTCTAGGACATTCAGCGATAGCTGCGGAATTCCTTTGCGGCGTTCAAGATTCTCTGATTTTACTGAACGCCCTACACGGTACCCGGGGCACCGAGGAGATCTCGTATCAGGGGACTCCACTCTTACGGGAAGTCCGTCATGCGGGCGCTAGCCAGCAGTTCCCCGGAGTATCACGCCTCGTTTCGAATCGAAATAATATGCAAGGATGCATGCGCTTCTCATATAATAATCTGAGTCGAAATATGTATTACAGAATACTGCGATGGACGACGAACAGGAGCAATTCCAGAAGGAGTTGTCCTGGTGCATCAGCGCTCTGCGAAAAGTGTTCCAGAAATCTGACCCCACTCGAAACCAAATCAAAGAAGCTTTGAAAGCACTCCAGGTACGCTCGAGCCGTTTCACCCTTAAAGATGTTGGAAGAATCCCTTATTAGGTCTTGAATGCGTCTCTTGTATCATGCGCCTAACGCCCGCCCTTATGGACGCGATTCGGTTCCTACAGATTCTGGAAAACCCGAAAGCTCCTGTCGTGAAGAAACGCCTTGCCATGCGCAACGCTCTCGGGGATTATCGAGCCAAGATGGCAGCGGAAGAGAAGCACCTCGAGAAACAATTGTTGCAAGGGAAGCGGAAGTTGGCCGAGTTTACCTCAGAAAAGGCCGACACCGCGGGCGGCAAGGTTCTCGCGAAGGCAGCGTCTCCGTCATCGTCAACGGGTGAGAAGCGAGAGTTCTCCTTCGATTTCGCTATTTGAATCTCCAAGGTGTCACCAGTCTGGGATCTCGGAGTAATAATATGAAGTGTAAATGAACTCGTGTACAAACTCCATGTTGCAAATTGACTGTGTCGAGACTGTTGCGAGAGGAGATCCCCTCGGCAGAATAAAGAAGACAAACTGTTGATTCTGTCGCAAGTTTTTATTGCTCCGTGTTGAATGGATTCCCGATGGTTCCATTGAATTAGCGTAAGCGAGTACCTCTCGAGTTTGAAGCGATACCTCGCATGAGGGGGTTTCGGGTAACATTTAGAATTATTAGTCAGATTTTGAGAAAATCCGGAGATTCAGAATCGCATGTCGAAGGATCTTGGCCCTTTTGCTCAACATTTGTTCATTTAAAATCTGAGCTGCTACTCCACAACGCATTCAAGGTGCTATCTGACCGATGTTGTTTTGCTTAGAGTTGTCGCAAAAATGTGGTGGTCTGCTAAAAGAGACGGAATGATATGGGAACCTACAGGTGCATCATCGAGTCTCTACTTAGCCTCCAAGCGGCGACGGGAGCTTACAAGGATGCTTCCACTCACTTCCTGATATAACTTCTCGGCTTTCACGCTATATCGTACCTATTTGAGCTTCCAGTAATCCAGTTACTGTTCCCTAGATGTATACACAGTCGGCCGCCGAAAGCCACCAGGGCTCTCGCTAGAAGTCGCCCGAACCGATTTTCGGGCCGAAAGCGGGAGAAGAGGCCCGAGTTTGTTATTTGGTATTCCAGACATTCGAAGAATAATGTAAGTATTTGTCGCTCAGGATCGTGTGGTCATCAGCCCGCGGAAGGATACGTTTCAACTTGAGACGTCTGATGCAGGGTTTCCGGCTCTGTTGTCCTAATTCTTTCGGCGGGCTACTCCACCGAAGAGATTGGACATCATACCGAACTTTGCAACGCAGTCTCATAGAAGGAACGTCGTCCAACCGACGACCAGGAGCATTCCTCCATAGGGTGTCGCTTGAATCCACTGAGGGTTCCGCGTGAAGACGTAGAGGTAACACGTTCCCGAGAAGACAATTATGCCCAACGTCAAGAAAGAACCCGTCTGAAAATGCGAAGGACAAGATCGTTAAGCACTCGAATAGAAGCGATGTTATGTTACTCTAGGTTCTGAGAATTTCGAGCCCTCCGGGGGGAGAACGATTGATGAGACACCGGAATACCTGGAGAGGCCAAAGAGGAACGGACTAAAGCATCGCGAACGAGCGTCTGCGACATTTTCTTGATTGCCAAATTAATTTCTAGATGATTACATGAACCGCAGGCTGGCTGCTCCGTTTGCCAGCTGGCGGGTGCACGACAGAGCTATCGCTGTTTTGTTGATGATTGCCGAGCCATTCGAACGCCGACCGTCGGCTTTCACTCAGTCATTCATTCATTCATTCAGTAAGCCAGTCACACACTCTCTATCCCACAAAACAGTTCAAGCACATATTCAGACCCGTGCGGTTGTCTTTCCGGCGGTGGCTCCTGAGGGCTGCTCATTTCATTTTCTACTTGATCCGACGCCGCTCGATGGCGAGGTGAGCGTGTGCCGACGACATGAACCGGTCATGAGTCGTCGCAGAGGTCAGTAGGGACGATCGTACTTCGCTCATTGATGATAAATCGATCGTTTCTTCGATTTGAATTAGGTAATTGATCATTTAATGAGAAAATACTCACGATTTTCGGGTAACGGGCAAACGCCACAGTGAAGAGAACGAGAGTGTGCAGGAAGTGGTAAAGGTTGGCGGTGTGGAACATCGTCGCCATTTCGGCCGTTGGTTTCAGCACTGTAATCAAGAAATTTGCGTTTGATTGTGGAGGAATCACGCGGAACCTTCGTAAGACGGGACGAGCCTCCATTCCCGCAGGACGAGTGCGACGGTGGAATCGGGCTTGACCATGAGATATTCTGGAATCTATCGCTAGTTCATCCCAACCGCTAAGCTACAGCGCAAAACTACATATTGACATCGATTTCGACGATCATGAGAGGCGCCGTTCCGCGTTGTAATTACATGTAGCAGATCATCGAACCAGATGAAGAGTCTTCTTTGCCAGCGCGCCATTAACACATCATTCTGTGGAGAATGTTCCCAGGACCAAAAACTACTGGGCATTGAACAGAGAAGGAGCGAACGAGAGAATGGTTCTCTAAACGAGTTCTTCGGAGGCCCCTGGAGGGACCCCAGAGGAAGGAACAGAAACCAAACCTAATATCTCCACTATCAAAGTCCTCGACCGCTCTAACAGAGTTCTCCCAGTCGGTGGCCCCAGATGCTGGTTTCGTTACGAAAACATAGAGGCCACTTCAGAGTTTCCGAGACACTGGCGGTAATCGATACATGGTCGGAATCGCCAGAGTGATCTCCAAATGCAATTTCCCGAATGGAGGAGCAGGCTGTCCTCATTCTCCGCTGAACTGCTCGATGAGATTCTGACGAGAGCTGAAACAACCCGGTACGAAACGCTCCAGCTGGGAAGGCTGTCGCTGGAGAACGGGAAGTGGACCCTTAGCTCTTACCATGCGCGCCGTAGGCTCCTAAAGTGACTGCAGCTGCTCCTAGGAAGGCTGCGATCCTGATGAATACTGTGGGTGGGTATAGAGCATATTTCGGAGGAGGCGGAGTGGGGGTGAGCATGACTCCAGTGTCTGGAAGGGAAGAAAGAAATCAATGAGCTTTGACAGAGCGTGGAAATATATCCACGAACAGCGTGTCCCACTAATGAGCTGTCGAGAAAAATTAGCGCCCGCGGACGTTGACAGATGGGAAACGTCTCTACCCGTTGCAAGAAGAGAAATCGGATACTCTTTGGAAATCCGTGCTGATGCGTAACGCACTTGAGTCGAGTATCACAAAAATAGAATTGTCAGCTCATCCTTCCCAACAATAAACGACAAAAACTCGTTCGGGGAATATCGCTGCGGGCTTCTTGATTCATTTATAAATGAAACGATTACGCGCGTCTCGAGCCCTTACAAGTATTTGCTTGAACAACCTATGGGTCCCCATCATTAGTTTCGGTAGAGGAGAACAGATCCGTTTTTATTTTGTCGTTCCTTATCTTGAAGTCCTTCGGATGTATCGAAATTCTCTCGACTTCCGAATCTTGTCTAGAAGAGCTGCTATATCTGGATATTTTTCTTCCTCAACCTAAACGACTTGACAGGGTCGTTTCATATTTCGAGTGATTTCTCAACAAGTTTCCAATGATTGTCTTCGTTCCGCTGACCTGCCGCTCCCGTAAGATATGAAAAAGGATTCTTCGTGTTTTTCGCATCGCCCGACAGTTATCGTACCTAAGTTTACCGTCTGAATCCCCGCGTATATTGGGTGAGCGCTTCCTGAACCTGACTTTGAAGATCCGAACCGAAAGCGCTCCTTGGGCAACGAGCAGAGAGTTCCCCGAGGAGTCCGAACTGTTCCATTCGGTGTGTTCACAGTGAGCCACGTAGCATAAGTATGTATGTCTACTTGAAACTCACTAAAACAATCAAATGCTGCAGCACTGCGCTGTTCTGCAGCCCTTGATGACCGAAGTAGCAGCGGGTTGTCCGGTCAGTACTTCTATCCGACAGCTGAGCTGCAACGGGCAACGCCGCAAGTCGCAACGCTTCGCGTACAGCGGTTTCGACCCACTCAGACGAGGCTATCACGAAGTCCGTTCATCACGAAGCCATCATGACATAAGATGAGACAGCGAGAATTCGCAAGAAATATATTTTCCACGCTATACGGATCGTCCACACCATCTCGGGCGCGTTCCGATCGAAATCCCAAGTGGATGGTGCCGAGCCTTGGAGCCGGCCTGATTCCGAAATTAAAGGGAAGATTTCCTTCTCTCGGGGGAAGACAGAGAGCACAGAAGATAGGTAAATCAAGTTCTCGACGAAAACCACAACCAAAATGTTTCCCGTGATCGCGAGTCAGTGTCCACAAAGATCGCTGTGGCGGGCGGACGGTGTCTTCGCTACCGTCACTCGACTATCGTAAAAGAGTTAAGCTGATTACTCAAACATTCACGGGTAGGCCGGACAGTGTTCAGCGCAGCCTCGTCTTTATGATTTTTTCTCCTCGTTGCACAATGATTCAGAGGCTTGAAGCATCGTTTTGGAAAAGTGAAAAACTCGCCAAGTTGTCCATTGCCAGAAGAGTTTTCTGGAAAGGTCGTCAGGGATGTCAAAAGAACTGTATCCCGTTTTCCGCCCGACGCTCTTTCCTTTCAACTTTTTCGGCTTCCCAAGGACTTCTTCTCCAAATGGAAACTTCATGGTTTCCTGAGAGAAGTTATCCCAGAGTTCGTTCGTTCCATCGGATGCTCACGAATCGAATGAGAAACATGAATGGCACATAGATGGCACCCGAAAAGAAGACCGTAAGCTTCCCAGAAGGCGGAATTACATCGAAGAACCCCCTGCTGAACATCAGGGAGGGTAATTGGAGGGTATTGGAGGGTAATTGACATTTCGGGAACGATAGACGACGGAGATGGGTTCTATCTCGAATGCTAATCGACATTTGTCCAGAACGGAGCACTTCTGGCTGGCTTCCAAAACACAGTATCAAAAAGAAAGTGCGAATGTTCGCTGCTATCCCGTAGTCGAAATCTTAGACGGCACCAGAAAATTCTTCGCTCAATGGGAAGTAAATACCACTGTCGTCCAGCATACATCGATGAGGCGTTGTCGTTGCCGTCATGCGACATCCAAAGGAATTAGTAGCATCGGCGAGGACAGAATTAGCTGCGTAATTTGTATTGAGATTCGCCCGATTCCATCGCAAGAAGGGAAACAGCGAGACCTTCTGTCTGTTGCCATCATGAGGTGATGATGGTTCTCGTCACGTTGCGTCGCGTCGTCAAGGAATACGATTCGTCAAACCTCCGAATATGTTCGATGTTCCTGCCGCGTGATTGGTTCTACGAATTGGTTCCAAGTTCGAGCGATACCTTTCTGGCCGGAAATCAGATATGAGGGAAATCAAATTTTCTCGTTGTCGAAACAGTTGAGCAAACTCGTCTCAAGTCGCCTTACTCGCTTGGCTGACTAACGAAGGGGAAAGAGAGAGAAACAAGTGCACGGATGGAAATTTGAAGGTCATCGGCATCGCTCAGAAATTCACAGGTGGCAAAATAATTTCCTTGGACCGGGCATGTGCCCCTCCGGATATCAGATCTCTCGGGAAACTTGTTTGTGAAAGTGTCGGGTTTCTGAGCCGAGAGACTATGTGCTCATGTGATCGGCGCTGTTCCTCTGAAATCTCCCAGTTCGGTCAATCATGAGGGGCTCGCTCTGAAGCTGTTGCAGCAGAATGGCGACGAAGAAGCGCGCGCCCTCTCGAACACGCTTCCGCATATGCAGACTGGAATTCCATTCCAAGCTCGATCTCGTAGCTAAGGGAGCATGAACGAAGGAACTTCCGAGGACGCTCTGCCCGCGGCTCGAATGCCGACGAACTGCTAGTAACGAGATACCGTTACCGCAGCACGAGGAAGTCGGCTGAATGCACTCATAAACAGACCCTGCCTTTCCGAGCCTCCGATCCTTGTTGAATAGATTGAGCGATGCAATTAGACATCATTGGGCACGTTCGCTTGCGAGCTGAGCGCAAGCCGAACGCTTCAGCGCAGCTTGCCTTGGGTCGCGACTTGTCATAGCGAAGCGGTTGTAAGGTTCCGCGGTTTTTAGGCCTAATTGTCTCAGTCAGTTGTGGCAGTTCATTCGTTTGAGCCACATCCATTCTCTTTGCGGTGTGGCCCCTTGTGACAGCATCATCGCCGACGACAATCTAACCTAGATTCGTTGCCAGTAGCAAAGGTAGCCGCGGCAGTTTCCAGCTCACATCACGAATAGGCCGCGATAAATTTCGTTGCTCAATGTTCTACCCGCAAACTTTCTATCTCTGTTTCAGCTAGCTTGCTCTTATCCACCGATGGAGAGCCGCATCCGACTCGGAAGTGAGGAGCCGAGCCGAGCGTTCACGGACCTCAAAGTAACCATTCGATGAGGCATTGCAATTGCGCGTCGTATTTTGCCTTAATTCCAGCCAGATCTCCGACTACCCCCGAGCCTAAGAGAAAAATTGGAAGGCTTATAAGAAGCTCGCAGCGCCGCGCCGCTCTCACGTAATCCAATGAATTCGCGCGGTTTGCCCAGCGCAGCGGGTGAAGCGAATGGACGGGATTCGGCACGCGCATATCATTTGCCTAATAATCCATGGGAAAACACCGGTCAGAACCACAGCTTGCTCATCCAGACTGCGGTTCACGCGTGCCCATGAGCCAAATGATAATTGAGATCTCCTCCTCATCGAGTTGTTGCATCCTTCGGAGGAGGCTTCCAATAATTCGCTCGAGAAAACGATGAGCTGACGTGATCCGCAGCCAGGCATATCATCATCCGGCTTCAGTTCTAATCCCCAGTCGTCGTGAATCTCTCAATGGGCGCTCCATTTCCCCTGATCGTGGCCGAAACTAGCGCTACCGCCCTTGTCGACGTCTTTCTTTACTTATACGGAGGGAGCTCCGTGGTCCGTGCTCAAGCCTTGGCTCGGAGCCGATTCGGCCTGACTCTTGCTTAGCCGGGCAGGTCGGTGAGAGCCGATCGAATGGGCAACTATCGTGTTAACACCTTCTTTTGAATAAGGCGGCCTCTTGTTCCCGCCGACACCGTCACCAAGTTTCGAATGCGTCGATGTTCACCCGAAGCGTAGATTTACTCCACGAGCGTCAAAGAAGTCAACGGTGCTGAAAGAGCTTTTCACGCGGTTCGTCCAGAACTGCTGTGACGTCATAGAGAGACGTCGCGGGTTGTTGAGAAGCCAGTGAGCAACACTTCGCTGGAAACTGCTTTGCGCTCATAATTTTCTATAATAAGGATCCGTAGAACGTCGTTGGTGGTGCTGCTCTAGAAGACGAGTCGCGAAACTTGGACGTATATGAGTCATATTTTGCTCTCTTCGCCTCGTTGCTTACAGATCGTCGTTTCGTCGGGTTGCCTGCCCACTGCTTTCCCACTCTGAACTCTTTGCCAAGATCAAGCTGGAAGACTTGAACCGCCTTGAACTTACGACGACAGGTTCTAGCGATGGCCGAACGTCGGTCAGCGGCTCGTGTTTCGTTCTGTTCCGCGACTTTTCTCCTGAGTTGTGTGCGAGCATCAACTCGACGTTCCCTCGGTATCTTGGGCGAGTTTCGAGACACACCGGGGGGTTGGCACGGGATAGATAAGCTCCCCCGGACTGGAAGGCTGTTTCACCGAGAACTGTGGTGTGGCGGACCCGCTAAAATTTGGTGGAACTTCGCCGCCGTGCTGTGGTGAAAAAAAAATTCCTTCTGGCCCTCGTTGTATCGGGGGTCGCATGCGGCAGCGTTTACCAATTGAGCGCGGACGGAATGACTGCTTCGAAATTCACGGATATGACCCCGAACTACAGATATCCACTCCTCCATACGAGAGCTCAAGCAGAAAATTGGTGAAGTTTTGAAGTGCTCGACCGATAGTCAACAGCTAATGAAAATAAGTCGGAAGGGAAGGTCACTCCGTAATCGGCCCCGCTTTCCGTCTGTGAGCACTCGAGAGAATATTGGATCCTTGTCATCACAAGCGAACCCAAATGGGAATAATTGGTAACGACGACGGCGGCCTCCCTCACGTCTATCGGTAAAAATTCGAAAAATCATCCGGAAAAGCCGCGAGCAAGATGCAGTTTTCAAGATTCCGATTCACCGACCGAGTTGCTATATGATCAGTCCGCCATCGGCGAACCCTGCAAACGGATGTTGCTTTGTTGCTCTTGCTCAGTGAAGGATAGCCAGAGGCTGACGATCACGCAAGCGGTCTAATTGCGCTGCCTGCGAGAGAACCCCCGTAGAATGGATATCGGAGGCTCAGATACTCTATTAATGGACGACGCAACTTTGCTAGCAATCGGACTCGCTTGGATGAGAGCTTTTTGTCCGGCCGTTCTGCTCCCGGGCTTCACCTCGAATTTCTCAGCTTTCGAAGAGGTTTGACACCGCGAGATTACTAGGATTTCGAGCTGTCAGAAAATTTCGCGGCGATTGCGGATGGGCTCATAGATTCCGCTACTCGAAAATAATCGACCCGGCATCTCTTGAGACTGGCATCGGACAGCAGTAGATCGTAAAGTAATTAACGAAACGTCACGTCGAAGAAAAAAGCTCGGTTCGCCTTCGTCGCTCCTTCTCTCGCTGATAGTCACGTAGTGAATCTGAGTGAAATCCGAAGAGCAACAATAATGGTCGTCGCAAATCGAAAGGCTCTCAGATCTCTCAGAACTGATTATGAGAACTTCACGAAGATAGAGTATCGTGCTCCGGAGCTTGGAGATGTGCTTCGGTGTAGATCTGACAAGCGGTCCTCCGCCGACTGTGCGGGGGAGTCAGAGGAACCCACGTCACGTAATGGATCTCAGGATCGGATACCTCAACGGCCTCTCTCATGCGGGATCTCCGAGATTTCCCCAAGGGATCGTCGACTAGATCATCGCGACGGCCAAAAGTCCGTGCTCGAGACAGTCCAGGGGAATGTCCCAAGTCTTTTTTCCGCATCGACATGATAGCAAAAGTCATCCCAAAGGCTCCTCGTTCACCACTTCGACTCCGGAAGCGGCGAATTAATTGGCCACCAAGTAGCCAACCTGCGCTTACTTTCCGCAATTCACTTGAATAAGGCACAAAGCATTCCCGCCAGACGCGCCCATTTTCGCGCAGGATCTCGATTTCTGAGCCAGAATCAATGCCGGTCTTACGGCACAGCCCACGGGCGTTCCCGACTTCTTCGAGAAGATGAGGCCGATCCTCCCATAATAAGATCAAATATGATCATTCAGTTACCGAGGAAGAGCTCGCTGTCCTTGGAGACCCTTCGATTCATTCTTACTCGGAGTAGAGACCACTCATTTTCGCTCTATACCGGCGGATGCTTAAATATTCGATGCTGTCGTGCATCACGCGCATCCCGGAATCTCGGGTGACACCGACGATGAGAAATTTCTTGTGCGAGACGTCGGATCGCGCTTCGGATAGGGGGACGCCTCGATTGAGTCGCATGAGCGTGGAATGTAAAACTCACCAATTCTGACTGCAGCGGCTTGGTCGCTCCGGAATTTGGAGTAATCGCCTACTGAGACGCCAGGCATGATTTTAGTAGAGGTCTCGACTGGAGCTCAAGGGACACACGAGGAAGTGCCGGCAAACACGACGATGATGATTTCACGGAGTGACGAAGTGTATCACTTTGACTGCACTATGTATAAGAACACACACAGATCCTCTGGCGGTCTCAACCTAGCGCTGTGGCGGTCTTGTCTCGTCTGTCGATCGTCTCTTTGTCTCTGGCGAAGCTGCTGCTCCTGCTGCTGCTGTAAACAAAACACATCGACTTTTCTCACTTTCCACTAAACCAACCACCTCCACACCACACAGAGCCGCAGCAGAGCAGCACGAGGGGGAGAGAGGGACGAGGGTCGCGGAGAGGAGACGCGCCGGGTTTTTAGTCCGACTCGGGAGGGACAATTTGTCCGAGCATGCAAACCGAGTTCGAGAGGAGATCTTGATTGGGAAACGGAAGTCCGAAAAATTATCGACAAGAAGCGGCTCTGCATATTGGAGACGCTGTCTCCAGGAGCTCCCGTTTGAGGTCTCGAGCGAGATTCCGAAGAATGGTGATGGCCTGACGCTGGCCTCATCGTGGAAAGTATGATAGTTTCTCGCCAAATGCAGATCGTAATACACTAACATGAGCCAGCTCTGAAAAATCTGGTCGTTGGCCCGGTTTGGACCTTGCAGTCCAATTCGCTTGGAGTCGGAGCCTCGGTTTGATTCGGTCGCGATCTAGAGTCGATCTGAGTCTACAACAGCATCGGCGTCGAGCTCAACGAACGACTGACTGTATCCGAGTTAGATTAGCCTCTCACAAGTACCGAATCAACTCGCTCAGCGCTTCCGGACAGAACCTATGCAGCTTACTACCAATATTTCCGAATGCGAAATACGGAATACAGTTCTCCCCGGTGCTGTCTAATTCCACGTAGCGACCTGGGAACTCCATGCTGGACGAATCGCAATTTCCCGCTGCCTGTTTAAGGCGAATCTCCGCGTAATCCGAGTACTGACGGATATTTAGCCTAAGGCGATCAAGTCAGATGTCTCAAGTTCAAGGTTCCCTACGTTATCCTTGTTTCGCCTCGAGTTGAAGATTCTATGCTTAGGTCGGAGATCTGGAAAGTGCTATTCGAATTTCATCGAATGAAGTTTCGCCGAGGCTTTTCACGGCTTATGATGCCGCTAGGATGACCCGGTGATAACTGATGATGTTCCCGGAGCACGGAATGTCATCCTCCTCGCAATCTACCTGTATGCCGGCGCTTCTCGAAGCCATTTCGAGCGTTCTTCGGAAAAACTACCACCGGATACCGGATGGCCAGGATTATGGTCTCGGATTTTGGAAGAGAAACTTTCGGTTGAGTAGTCGGAGTTTTTTTTTAGCTCAAGCCAGCAAGCAAGGCTACGTGACGCTCCTCCCAATGGCACGGACGTCTGGAAGCGCCGATTGGCGCCGTAGATACTCCGGGCTGCAACACGAGGGACCCACTCAGTTGGGGGATCCGAGGGTGAGGTGTGGTTTGTACTTATTCCAAGCATCCTAACATGCTCGAAGCTCCCCTGAGCTGCAGACCACGTCAGAAAGATCTGGAGTGCGGAGGAAGTCAGGCTTTTTCTTCAGGATTCCGGTTTTTCCCGGCTTGATCTGATAGCCTTCTTGTCGTGGACGAAAGCATTTATAATCATAAATTATCATGGAACTCTCATGGTTGTTATGAATTATGAGTCCCACCCATTGACTCGCTGGGAGCCCTTGTGCCTGTTCGACAGAATATTTTAGGGAAAAACGGGTTTCCCATGAAGAATCCGGTGTGTGAAGATGTCTCGAAAAATAGATTTCTGATGCGGTCGAAATCGATTCCTCGGCGGAGTCCTGGAACAAATCCTTCCGAGGGGGTATCGTTTCCGGCCCGCTATCACCTAGGACCTAAGTAATTTGAAACCCCGTCGTGAATCAGGCTTCACAGTGCGGATTCGCGCTCAGATCCTCAGGTCATCTGTCGATCATCCTTTCTCTAAGCATAATGTGATCATTAATCATCCTATTGATTAAGGAAACTGGAAATGCATCCCCGGATTCTGACTGAGGGCGTCGCCTCGACCGAGTCGCGGAAGCCCTCAAATGTCTCTCGATGCGGACCCGTGAGGGGTTCGTCCCAGTCTATTCTCTCTGCCTAGAGACTCTGGAGTAAGGTTGCGGCGTGGATGACGACTGGTGAAAGCACCCCGAGCGGGTCGGTAATCTGCGATAAAGCTTTCAAGAGGGATCTCTTCGTCGGAACCTCCGTATTCAATTGCATCGAGGCCTCCTCGATGAAAACGCCCGATTCATCGTAAGCCTGGTTCCTTGAAAAAAAGTACCTCCACTGAGCTCTGAGTATCAAGAATTGTCACCATTCAGAATGCCCCTCGAAAAAGCTTGAGAAGTCGCCGCGGGAGAGCGGTCCCAATCGAAGGCGCGGATAGCATGCGAAACTCAAATAGCTCCATGGACGGCGTCGATTTCGAAACTAAAGATCTTGGTTCACGTGTGAACGGGGCGGATTCTATGTGTCTAGTGTCTCTCAATCATGTTTGTCATCATGGGCTCTGAGCGTGCAGCTCTCAAGTGATCCCCAGCGTCCTCGAAGACGGGCAAGGTCGAATCTGCCTCAGATTGATGGATGTAGCCGCCTTTTACGCTTGGAAAAATTTCTTTCCCAGTCTTCTGCTCGAGCTCGCCGATCGGAGCCGAGGTCCGGAAGATTTTGCAGATGTTTCCCGGAATTGAAGCTGGTGAACTTGCTTGTAGCCTGCAAACCTCTGACTTGGGTTTCACACAGCGCCACCTCGCCTCGTCGCCCGAGGTCTCCTATGTTCACTAATGGTACTTCCTCGGTAGGAGTCACGAGTCTGGAGCGCTCTGATTGGCCTTGATCTTTGGGGCCAATTTGTTCAGATTTTCGACTCCAGAAATCTCGTATCGTCCACCTGCTGGCTTGGCGCCAAAGGAGGGGAAATCTTGCTGATCGAAATGCCAGTCTTAATCGGGCCCTGCGATGAGAGGTGTCTCGAAGCGAATCAACCTTGGGAATTCTCAATTATGAGTTCTTATGAGTTTCAATCCGGCCTGAGATCTCTGGGCCCCTCCCTCCCCGGTTTGGGTCGGAGTTATACCTATGAAGGACTGATCGGGGGTGACGGTCCGAAAGAACATCGCTCGAGATGTTGCGAGAAGAGGCAGTCCACCCGAAAGAAACGCGAATCCAGCACTCCGAGGCAGTCGCTTCCGGAGTGCTTCGGTGAACGCGATCGGACGCGGACCTCTTCAACTCGTAGATTCTCAGGATGGAATCATCCGAAGAGACTCATCGCCTTCTGAATGACTTCTTTGGCTTGCGTAAGGCGCTCGAGGGGCCGGAACCCCAGGGTTGCGTTCGACGCGTCGAGTTCTTTGTGCCTGCCGCAGCTTTTCGCTAACTCATCAATGAAATTACTAAACGGACATTCTTATCTCCCGACTTTCGCATCATGAGAGATCGGATTGCAGGATCCTCATTGAAGCCCTCCCCACACCTCACGGCGGCGGGGACTCATCAGAGGCGACCCCCTCGTCGATGAGGTCGTCAGTTTTCGCTCTTGCGAATCGGATAGATTTGGAACCTCCGGGACTCAGGAACTCTACTCCTCAGTCCTCGTTGTCGGAGATCGGGATCGACTGGTAAGGCTCGGAGCGACATATGACAGTGAAGAAACCCTTATTCGCGACCTCTAGCGGACGGCTGAGTCGATACCAATATTTTCCCCGGAGGTAAAACGTTGTCCTCATCCTTCGCGTCGAGACAGAATTTTCCTCCTGGCCTCGCCTCGCCCATCGCACAACATCCGCAGCGAGATTCGACGAGCAACCGAGCCGCTGGATGGAATGGACTTGATGATTCTGATTCTCGAAAAGCTCCACAAACGTCGCCGAGTAAGTAGAGAGTATCAACCCTACGAATGAAGACAGAATTGGTATCATCGCTGCCGTCTAATAAGAAAGTTTCCCGCGACTTCTGGAGGTCTCATCGAGTCACATCCGACCCTTCAATGTCGCTCCTGATTCCACATCTCTCTCGGGATACCTACGTACAAAAAGTAGCGGGAGTGAGCGCGCACGAATAATTTTGTCTGGTGAAATCTGCACGCGTTTATCAATCGGCGTTGATGGTTCCCGCCGAAACTTCGCGGTAGAGATGTGTATCTCAGAGGGCCACAATGCCACGTCTACCGATCCGAGTCCATCCGGCCATAAGATGAATGCAGAAGATCGAGTTTTAGAACCAAATACGCTTTCCCGATTCTCTGTCGTAAGTGTGCACGAACTTCAATCCAGGCCCCCTCTGCTCGACGTGAGGCTCTGACGAATATCGTTGACCATTTTGAGGCACGAAGCGTCCCATCGCACGTCAAAAAGGCTAGATTCGTCGCTCACTCAGTCGTCTCTCGCCCCGTGCCGCTAATCTGGAGACTCAGAGCTGGGGAATGTGCCGTGACTCTTCGGAGGGCTTCCTCGAACGGTTGCCCGATATCGCGCCCTGCACGTTTTCCCGTTTTCATCGGAAGCCATCGACGGGTCCGAGAGTCTTGCGTTTAGATTTCTCCCTCTCTCGAAATTATTTGGGGGGGCGAAGCGAGCACTGGATGTCTCGTGATCTTGTGCTGATTTGTGTCTCTCGGTTCCTTCCAGCAGTTTGTCGTAATCGCGGAGGTCATTATGAACCTGTCGGCGATGGATTCTGTCGAACGGGCATCATTTGATGAGGAATTCCTCCCTTCTCCGACCTCGATCCCTCCGCACATGAGAGCTGTGGGTTTAGGGAAGGTGTCTAGGAGTCGGTATTCCCGTTCGTCTCCCTCTCAAAATGCAGACTCTCGACCCTATGCTGGAGTACTTCGAGGATCGTCTGGAACCGAATGAAGGCCATCATTTCTACTCGGTACCCACGGTGCACGCGGAGACAACCCCGGGAAGGATCAGAATGAGTTAATTAATGCTGATGCACCTCCAATAGTTTCCCCCCCCCCAGATGCTGAACTTGAGATGGACTCAGTCGAAGGTGATTGCTCTGTGGATGGTGCCCGGGGACCAGGACGGAAGTGAGTTTTGGGGTCCCTGAAAGCCTCGGGGGGTCCAAAGCGAGATTTCTAGATGGTGTTCTCTGACGTGAGCATATCCTCACGAGACAATCTTTCACCAAATTGTCATT